TCGAGCTGGCTCCTTGTGGCGTGTCGGTCTTCTGGAAGAAATTCAAGATGCTTGTATTGCGCTTATTCGAAGATTGGTTTGTGGCAGAAGGCCTTTTTGACGGGGTATTCGCCTTCTTCGCGTAAGAGCCGGCCATTTTGGGGTTGTCAAGGAGGGGTGAAGGAGAGTGAAAGATCGAGTGGCAAGAGTCGGATAAGGCGCGGGTAGCCCGAGAGGAAGGTGAGTGTCAAATTAATTGGTCAAATGTACAAGACGTTCATGGTATGTGCATGTTCAGGTGGAAGTGTCTTCAAGAGGCGCGAAACAAGATCGCGACACGAAGTCACGTGGTCGTTATCATTACAGAAGAATTCGAATGTCGGTCTCTACATCCAATAAAGATACCCAAAAAAAAAGGGTTGCTGGTCATTATTGCAAGAAAGGTCTAATGAGGTATCATCAATGAGCAACGCATCTCCGGCGCCAGCATGAACCACAGGCGTCTTGATATTCAACGAAATCGCTCTTCCATCTGAACAGGACTTCGGGGCCGGCAAATCAACGTTGATCCTGTAGCATCTTCGAGTGCATGTGGTGTCAAAGTTGAAATTATCCCACCGCAGACTCCCATATCTCTCAGGCCATAAATTGAGTCGTTTCGATTTGGGGGACATCATGAAGGCCCCATGCTGTTGGCCATAGAATTATCTCTTTTTTTTGGAAACCATCTAGTGGATTCAACGGTAGTGCAGAGCTTAATGCGTGGTATATCGTAAAGTCGAGTTCAAGGTCGTTTAGCGGGCTTTGCCAGCCTGGTTGGAAGCCTCTGTAGATTGTCGGGTTAGTCTTAGTCCATGCAGCTGTCGCGGCTTTTTCAGGTATCCAAAAAAAAAAAGGAAAACATCGAGAGCACATCTGTTTCAGATAGACTCAGCCTGTAGGGGTATGCGCAACTCACCTCGCCGTGTAGCATCCTCCAACAAACCCACGTCAACCTCCGACCGAGGCAACATCACGTAGCGCACCACGCTGCCTCGGATGAACATATTCTTCACCGATGAGAGGTGAGGGTATTTAACAAGGTCCAGCACTTCGACATCGTCGAGCTTGATGTTCAGGTATTGGTCGACCGACTTCAAGATCCCACGAATGCGGATGTCGTTCTTGAGCTCAATGGTGACAGTCTGGTTTGTCAGGGTCTTGAAGAAGCTGCAATCATACAAATGTCAGTTTCCAAATCTCCTGCGATACCTGGGTAACATACCTGAAGAAAAGCATGGTTGCGGTGGCTGTGGATGCTTGGAGGGGCGTGACCGAGAGGTGCGACGGAGTAGAGTGGTGATTCTGCCGGCGGTCAGGGCGGTTAGCGGTGAAAGCTTCCTATTCTTGTTTATAGTAGAAATGTCACGAATGTGGATGTACAAGGTAAATAGTCGGGAAATTGTTATGCAAGATAGAAGTGATACTGGGTCACATGGTACTGCCTTTATCGGTAGACTTTTTCACTGGTGTGATTATCACCGCCACGAATACGATGAACATATATATGTGGTTCCTGGATTGCAACTAGACACCGTCTAATATTTCATGTGAGCTTCCTACTCAACCGATGGTAATGTAAGCTGAGGCAGATACTGAGCAAGGCTTATATATGCCACACTTTCCGTTCCCATGCTCTTAGCGGGATATAAAGTACCACAGACATCACCGCAGCCAAAATCCAACTAATATCAGTACCGTCGGCCGAACCACCTATTCCAGTGGCAATGGGACCAATCCACCATGGTTGACTCATAGAAATAACCGCAAGAACAGTTGAAGCGACCCAAGTAACGGACGCAGCTATTCCATACGGAAGCATCTTCTTGTCGTTCCATACAGCGACATCGTATTGGTAGCCACTCCTCCAGACGAAATGCTCAGCAAGCAGAACAGCACAAAAGGGGACAGTCCAATAAGCACATATAAGCAGGAAGTTCTGCAACACAGCCTCCAAATATTCCCTGGCGGCTATAGCGATCGCCAGATAGGAAATGCTGCCAATCAATGACCAAGCAAGACGAGGCACAACAAGAAGCCTTTTTGAGACCATTTGCATAGCCAGGCCCAAGGAGTAGACACTTGTTGTTATGACAGCAGCTGCCGACAAACCTAGGAAAGCTTCAATCAAGTACCCCAAACCACGGACGCCAGGATGTATATCTTCAAAAACGGAGCCGACTAGCCCACCAATCCCACGACTGTCATATGAAGCTTTAAACCGTGGATCGGGGTTCACACAAAGTGATCCAATTGCGGCGCCCAATAGTTCAATTGATATTTGACCGGCCAAAAGGCCAGCATAAGTCCATAAAAACGTTACATTATCGCTGATAGTCTCACGCATGTAGACACTGTAGTCTGCTGCTATCGTAGCCCAAGCGACTTCAAATCCAATGATTGCGGTGCTAAAGGAGAGAACTTTTGAGCTCTCTGTGGATCCGTGGCCCATAGGCACATTGATGAAATGACGAGCTCCGAATCCCGCAGTGATGATCAGGCAAATGATTGTCACGATCCAGCAATATCTCGAGTAAATATGGAGCACTCGATACCCAAAGAAGCCGAGGATGCTGGCTACTAGGCCAATGATAAGAATTGACACTGACATTGGTAGATTTCCATCCCCGGCATCGTGCAGCACTGCAGCGCCAGAGAGTGTATTTACGACGGCCCAGCCAAGCGCGTCAACCAGGTTGAATACAGCAAGGATTTTTGCCGGCCACCAGCCAAAACAATACCTGGGAACAAGCATAGTGCGCAGCCCGAGCTTTGGACCAAAGCGCACTGTGAGTGCTGGAATGGCAGCTCCAATCAGGTTGAAGAAGATGATAGCAAGAAACGAGTCCCACCAGCCAAGCCCAAATGCTGTGGGACCCAGAAATCCAGTTGCCAACGTGGACATGTTGCAATTCGCAGCAAAGAATATTGTGAACAAATCTCGAGGTGATTGGTTTGTTCGCATGTCCTCAGGAACGCGTTCAACGCCAAATTCCTCAGCTCCGATTGTGCGTGCCCAGCTGCGGGCTGCCATCCAGGCTTTACTAGGAGATGGACTATGTGTGGCAGGTTGTGTCGCTTTTTCGAGATCATTCTTTGGCCCTAGAGGGATTGTGGATTCGGTTTCCGGAGTCATGATGGAAGTGATGCTTATAGCAGTGTGGGTTCGTATGTAGTGACAGAAAGGTAAAAGTTAATTAAGATGAGCGGCGAGTTACAAGTAATCTCGCATGTCGTTTGACAGGAAGGTAGAATAATACCCGTGAGGAAGATGTAACCCTCGACTTCAGGAGTCAAGGGGTTGAAAAGGCAACCAGGTGCATACAAGGACCGTGATAATGCAGGACGATGCAGATACCCAATAGACGGATAATATTACATTCTGCCTGGTTTCAGCGCTTGCCCTATCTGTTGTTTGTTGCTTCGAGAATGTGTCTACGGCAACTTTTAGAGGCACTCATAACGGCTCTTAGATAATGCCATGCAATTTGCCATTTAACCTACGTGTACCCTAAATATTACTTCTAACTATATGACCACAGATATCGAATCATATCTGCTCAGTTGCCGCTATTAATCGGAAACGGTACCAATTCAGGCTACCAGAATGCCTCTCTGCTTTCGACAGCATATAATTTAGTGTGATATTTTGAAGTGAGTATCACTGAGTAGTAGATAGATTGAAACCAACCAGCAAAGAGAAAGAAAGAAACCGTGTAAACATGACAAGGATACGAACAAAAGACAGGGAACCTTCCAAACTCCTGATAAATACATGGCAAAGTTTCCAAAAAGGAAGAAAGACAAGTGAAGAAATTAGACTTCAAGTGTGGTTTTCTTATCCTGCTCGAAACTTTCCTTCTTCTCCACTGATGCAGGTGATGTAGGTGGTGATTTGGTGTACTCCGGCGGACACTTGTCCATAGGTTCATCAGTGAACTCTTTCGCATCATTTTTCCCACGCCACGGAAAACTCTCCTCATTGTCACTCCCCCTCACACTGTCAGGTTCAATAAGCTCTTCTTTGTGAACATCCAACTTGTCCGTCCGTCGAGTGACCTTTCGAGTCCGAATACACCACGCAATACCGAGCACAGTTGTTGTAAGCCAGAGCAGCATATTGATCAAGTCAAGCCAGACCGCAGCGCGCATACGTGGGACTGACACTGTCGCATTTTCATAGCCGGTTTTGGTGCCGGAGACATAGACTGTTCCGAAAACACCCACTTGGGCAAGCCAGAGGACAAGCAGGACCCCATCCCAAGCCGACCATGCGACTTGGGTTACAGTAAAGAAGCAATGCACAATGCAAGTCAGGGCAGAGAGTGCAGCAACGAATTCAGCGTAGATCCATTCTGCGTGGGCGTGATTCTTGGTTTTCGTGGCTTGTGCCAGATCAACTCCGTAAAGACCAGCAACTGTGACAGCGAAGACAAACTGGAGAGTGCGGAGTGCAGCACGGCTGATAACTCCACAGATTCCGCTTTTGTGCCAGTAGTGATCAATCCTTCGGGTCGTTGTTTTGGCCATGGTGGGGGTATGAGTAGTAGTAGAGAAAGGAGGCTTTCAACGTTAGGTACTAGTACGCAAGCGAGATGAAAGTTGTTAAGGGAGTCTCACTATCCTTAAATAAGCGAACACCCATGGCAGAATTTGTAGATTTCTATTTAAAAAGTCGAAAACTTGATCCAAATGCTTAAGATCGGATGCACTAACGAGTTAGGAAATTTGATCGTATCCGTAAACCACCACTGACTATAGTAAACCAATCACAAAATCTCAAATGCCATAGTGGGGCACAATCCAGCAACAACGTGGAAACGCCGATCTATCCCATTTAAGTTTTTATACATCTGGGCTCTATTCTTAGCTGTTTTAACGGGTCTGAATCAATGTCTATTCTTGTTCATTTCAATCTCCCACAAGTTTTAACTCTCAATTCTGCTCTGTAAGACACTCATACGGCAGGCTTCCTTATTGAAATGACAAACCCCCGACAAAATTCCACGTCTGTTGATAATGACGATCCTCCCCCATTATACGAAGATCTATGGGGTGCAGAAGATAGATCAATGGGACAACGAATGCCTCCGTCCGAACTATCATGTTCCACTGCACCCTTATCTGACCTTTTTCTGACCGATGATGGCCGTGTGGACATGCGAGTTGGATCCCGATTCAGCCGCAACCTTGAATGGCTGATGGATAACCAACCCACCGAAGCGGAGTCACCTAGGTTGGCAGAGGCAGCCCCAACATTTGCGGCTCATTTTGACCTTTGCCTAAACATTGTCATCCAAGTGGTGGGCAGTCACGGTGACGTACAGCCCTTCGTCGCGTTGGGCGAGGAGTTGCAACGACATGGACACCGTGTGCGGTTGGCAACCCACGCCAAGTTTGAAGCATTTGTCAAGCCAGCTGGACTCGAGTTCTACCCTATCGGCGGAGACCCTGTTGAACTAATGTCATACATGGTGCGCAATCCGGGGCTCATTCCGAGCATGAAGAGTCTTTTAGCGGGCGATATTCAACAGAAGCGAGCCTCGATTGCCGAGGTTCTACAAGGCTGCTGGCGGTCTTGCATAGATCCAGACCCACACGACAACAAGCCATTTGTTGCAGATGCTATCATTGCAAACCCGCCAAGCTTTGCCCATCTACATTGTGCACAAGCCCTTGGGATCCCGGTTCACCTTATGTTTACTATGCCTTGGACTGGTACCAGAGCCTTTCATCATCCTCTTGCAAATTTGAAATATTCTGGGAACGATCCTACCATGGGAAATCTTATCTCCTATTATTTTGTTGAATGGGTTACATGGCAAGGGTTGGTATTTTCCCCTCGTCAATATTGATTCTTTACTAACATACTCCAGACTAGGCGACCTGATAAACAAGTGGCGGAAGGATACCCTAGAGCTAGATCCCATTCCAGCCATAGAGGGTCCGAATCTGCTCGAAACGCTGAAGGTCCCCTTCACATATTGTTGGTCGCCCACATTGGTTCCAAAACCGGAGGACTGGGGCTCGCATATAGGTAAGTTGGCTATGTATGCAGTAGAAAATATGTGCTGACTTAAAGTGCAGATGTCGTTGGCTTCTTCTTTCGTGATCCAGGGGCATATGATCCACCGGCAGAGCTAGATGCCTTTTTGCGTGCGGGTCCACCACCCATTTACATCGGGTTTGGCAGCATAGTTCTCGAGGACGTGGAAAAGACCATCTCAATCCTTCTAGAGGCAATTCAAATTACAGGGGTACGCGCTATCATCTCTGGCGGCTGGAGTGAACTGCATGGTCAAGATACTCCTGATATTCATTATATTCGGGACTGTCCACACGAGTGGTTATTCAAGCAAGTCGCCGCTGTCGTACATCATGGTGGTGCCGGTACTACAGCATGTGGTCTACGCAACGGGAAGCCAACCACTATCATTCCCTTTTTTGGAGAGTAAGTATCGCCCCCTTTTAACGTAACCATCTGAGACTGATCAATCGTTTGCTTAGTCAAGCATTTTGGGGTAACATGGTCGCTGCCGTCGGGGCTGGGCCGGATCCAATTCCCTATAAAAGCCTGACGGCACAGAAGCTGGCAGATGCTATTTCCTATTGCCTCATCCCACCTGCTGTGACGATGGCTCAGTATATTGCGGACAAATTCCAACAAGAATGTGGTGTGCGTGCAGCAGTAAATTCGTTCCATGCACACCTTCCACAAAAAAAGATGAAATGTGACCTCATCCCAGGAAAAGTTGCAGTTTGGAAACTAAAGAAAGGAAAACGGATCTTCAAACTGTCTAACACAGCCGCATTGATTTTGAAACGCGAAGGGCGATTCCAAAAGAAACACCTCAGAAGGTAAGTAAAGAATTAAAGCCAGCGACTCTCCACCTGAAGATTCTTGCGTGACTGACTTAATCGCGAGAATAATTAGATATCAGAGTAAGCCCTTTACAATTGAATGTCAACGCTGGGATCCAGTTACGGCCGTTTCACTGGCTTCACTATCAACCTTTAGCGGCATGGCTGATGCCACAGCCGGCATTTTTATCGATCCTTATAAGAAATACAAGCATCTCCGATCAAGTCGAAATTCGAATACTTCTATCTCAGCCGAGGTGCCCTCCATGACACACATTACAACTCATCTTGATGCCGAGGTGGACCCGAATCATCTTTCGAATGACCCTGAGTACGCTAAACAAATGGCATTAGCTTCAGCAATCAGTCTCGGAAAATTTCTCGGCCGCTCTTCACGCGGCATGTTTGTCGATCTACCCCTCGCGGCAACAGAAGGGATGCTGGCCATCCCCAAACTATATGACGCTCAAACCAGAGTACATGGACCTGTGCGAGGATGGAAGAGCGGTGCAGTTGTGGGGTGGTCGATTTTCAGGCATGGTCTTTACGAAGGCTTCACGGATATATTCGTGCATACATACTATGGCAAAAAAAACGAAGGCTCTTTTGGAGTAGCCAAAGGATTGATGAAGGGTTTCACCAGCTTGACTGTTAAAACGGGAGCTGCGACGATTGGCCTGGCTGCTTATTCAAATCAAGGAATATATCGGTCCCTTCGGGCCCGTTTAAGGACCAAACTTACTAGGTGGGTTGTGGAGGCGAGATGGGCTGAGGCGGAATGGATCGTGAATGATGGGAGCGGCGTGAATGTAGATGTGACGGCGTTATGTTCTTTATATGACGATTTGTTGGTCACGAGAGATAAAGCACACAGAGCACGCTGGAACTTTGCCTAAATCGCAGAATTTTTTATTTTATAAAACAAAAAGAAGAAAGAAAGAAAGAAACGTGGAGCACATAGTACCTTTGTTCTCGGCGGTTGAATACGCGAGAGGGGAAAATAGTCGGGCTAAAGGGGGTGTGTGTATATTACAAGATTTCTACCACCAAAAACATCAGAGCATGCAACTCCTGCTCTAGTAGATGAAAGGAGAGGAAATTTATAGCCTGTGGTGTGTTCGACGCCTTGTTTTCGATCACAAGCTTCGTCTGCTTCCCTATTGGCAGTAACCTCCAACGGCGGGAATCCGACTTTTCTCACTCGCTTGTTTCTAATTATTAAACTCAATGGCAGATTTCATTGAATTGCTGTCATCGTTTTATTAGGTATCCTGATATTTTCAAATGCCCGCTGCGTAAGAAAGTTCCCCTGCGCCCACAAACACAGCGCCAATTCCTGGATGATGATAGATCCATTGCTTAGCCTCTACTACCTCTAGGCTGAACCATTTAGAAAGTGTTTCACGTTATTACATAAATAAATCTGCGCCGTATCCGTATTCGTGGATCTTAATGCAGTGGGGCTGTGGAGTGTCAGGCAGCGATTTCCGCAAATGCAGTCAGCTTACTTCTTTGCCAAAATTTTCACTTTAGCGCAAGAGACATGATATATAGGAAATAGTCGAAAATTAGGATATTCCCAGGTATACACGATATCACCGAGGCGACAAAAGGAAGTAAAATGAAAGGAAGTAAAATGACAGGGCGTACTCTTAATCTCAACTCGCTCCTGTCCAAAGTGATTCAATCTGTAGCTTGTTTCAATCTAATATTATCAGATGTAGACATTTTTCCGTGGCCTAGTGGCTTGGTATAGAGTCCAACATAGTAACGAAACAAGCCACACTTTTGAATGTTACTGCCTTGTTTTTAATATGCAACATGAGTCCACTCCAAAGGGGTCTTCTATTTCGAGATGGACAGGGAGTCAATGTCAACACAATATAAAGAGACAATTAGGTCTCTAAGATCCCCAAAGAATCACCCAGAACAATCAACCATTCATTCTGCTTCGTTTCCACAATTCTTGCAGCGATGGGCAACCTAATTGGCGCCTCATCCATTGATGCAAGTCCTTCCTGGATGTTGTATTCTCTGCATTCCTTACGTCCTCATATCATTCCTTCTTTACTTTCATTGCTCTACCTATTCTGCACGGGCTCGTTATACTTCGATGTGGTCCATCATTTGCTTCATCGTTGCAACAACTCGTCTCATCCTCTCTTTCAATGCTTGGCCCGTATACACCGTTATCACCATCTCTACTATACACGGCATATGAATTTCAACGAGAAATACCGCAAGCAAAATCTTTTTCAAGCATTGCCGCTTGAACTAGGACTTCAGGTCATTGGCACCGTACTAGGGTACATTTTCGCTACTTTGGTGACTCCCAGCGGCCAAGTGTGGATTCCACGAGCTCACCTGTGGTCTATCATCGGGTTTCAGGTTGTGAAAATGATTTTTGTGATTCTCACAAGTGGTCGTGACTCGAACCATCTCGTCTACGACACTGCTCCCAAAGATCCTAATTGGATCTTTGTAGGCCCAGAGTTCCACGCTCTCCACCACGTTTACCCAGATCGCTATATGGGATCCTTCATCAAACTGTTTGACTGGGTATGGGGCACCGCCTACTCCTTCCGAGGAAAACGCTTCGTGATCACCGGTGGAAATGGAGCTTTCGGTCAAGCCATGGTGACAGAGCTGGAACGCGAGGGAGTGCAGAACATTCGCAAATTAAAGTTTGGTAGTGATTGGGATTATGACCACTTTGAGAAAGCAGCCTCGGCGCTTTCAACCTGTGACGTCCTTATCCTGGCGCACAGTACGAAAGGAGAAGATGCAATGAAATCAAATTGCGACTCAGCGGTGCGACTAGTGCAGCTATTCAAGCAGCACAGAGAGACAAACACATCCAGTCCAACGCTTCCCGAAGTATGGTATGTTGGCAGTGAAGCTGAACTGCTTCCGTCGTTTGGAAATGCACAGTTACAACGCTTCTCTGACTCAAAACGACGCTTCCTCCCACATGCGCGTTCATATTATGATGATGACGACATACTTTACCGCCACATCGTTCCGTCGGCTTTCCAGTCATACATGGGGTCCGCCGTTCTTTCAGCAGGCTGGGCAGCTAAGTGTTCAATGTGGTGGATTCGGAGAGGTGCTCGCTACATTCCTGTCTCCTACACGGGGGTTGCCTATCTGAATTATTTCAAGTTTATGTACTGGTTTCCATATGCACAGGATATGAATAGTCTATGAAAATAATAAAAGCGAATACCAAATTCAAACCATCTTCTTTCCTGTTTTGCCGCTGTCTATTTAAAAGGTATCAAGGCCATTTTTTTGTTGAGTAGATATCTAGTCAGTCTGCTATAATTTGGCAGACGGACACGATACGGCAGCTCCATCCCCGGATTTGCGGCCAGATCTACGTCTATTGTGGCTGGTGTATGTCCCGTATACCGACGGATCGTGGGCAAAGGCCAATAGATTGCGTGTCTAGAGAATCCCGAGCTACCACAGTATTACACGCCTAGGCAATACTCCTCGGCGCACCTTAGTTTCTCCAGTATTTCCTCGGGGTTTGGTAAATTGTCCGCCGCCGAGGATAGACCTTTCCAAGTAAAATCCGGAACAGCAGAAGGAAAGGCGTAAGGCGTCAGGCAATACTGGAGGGACTGTCCTTGGCGCCACACTGGGGCTGACTAGCGCATCATGTTGGGAGAGAAGCATCAGCTCGGCGTTTCGTGTCTTAAAATGAGGCCATTGTCTTTGCCAACATATACTCGGCGGGACGGACCTCGTCCGACTTAAGTAAATGAACTTAGGAACCCTTGTCATGTCTTACGTATAGTCCGAGACAATTGTGGACTTATACCACGGGTGATAGGCTCCGCAATATCAGGCACCGGTGTAGAACAGAATTGCGCAACTTGTTCAATTGCAACAGGGAATAATAGGGGTAGGGCACCTGTCGCCTATTGGATGGAGCTGTCAATATTTCCCTTTGAGGCAAGAAATTTGCATGGATACCCTGCGGGAGATGTTCCTATCGTTCAAAGGAGAAATTTGATTGTCTATTTATGTCAATCACTTGTGACATAGCATTCCACGGAGGTTGAACAGTACAACAAATACTCCCTTGAACGTTAGCTATAGATTAGCAGACACACATCGAAGCTGGAAAGATAGGATGCGTATGTACAGGATACATCAAGGTAAATTACATTAAGAGTCAGCCACCAGGGCCCGACAAAATACGTACGTACTTAGCAAGCATATTACGGTCATAAACCTAAACCAACCCAGAAGAACGACCAGCCCTCTTCCTTGGCTTCATAGCCCAACCAGACAAACAAGTCCAACCAGCACCACTCTTCCTCCCCTCATCAAAGACTGCCCCAACACCCTCAAGCAACATCGATCGTTCCCGACCCATCTCCATCCGCAGCTTCAACAACCATGACTCCCACATCCAACCGCCGAACAAACCAGTGATACTAGCGATATCGGCTGTGCTCCCGACTGGTCCTTGTACGGCTTCGTATCCTTCGATTTGGCTTTGCACACGCGGGGCGGGGGTTTCGCGTGGTGGCTGGTGCTCGATTGGCTCTGTGCCCATAGGTAGGAACATCCAGGCGCGCTTTGTGCCTACAAATCCGTTGTTGCGGAGACGGGCGAGGAACGTCTTTGAGGCGACTGGGTCGTAGCCGCGCTTACGGAGGTTGAAGACCATCTCGACAGATGTTGCTGAGGCGTACGGTCCTGCGCGGGAGATTTCTGCGTCTAGGACTTGGAATTCGAGGTAGCCGCCTGGCTTGAGGCAGCGCATGCATTCCTTTAGAACTAGGTCGTATTCGTCGCTGTTCTTGCCGGCTGGGCATTCCGTCTTGAGTAGGGAGTGGAGGGAGCGTGCTGAAATCAGGTCGAATTGGTTGTTGCCAAAGGGGAGTTCCCAGAGGCTTTGGACAGTGACCTGGCGGTGGTTAGGTGGGCCTTTGATGGCGCTGTTCACAGTTTGGTTCTTGGATGCCACGGTGTAGACCTTGACATTTGGGAACTCGTGAGCTGCTTGCCACGCCCAGTCGCAGGAGGAGTGGCCACCGAGATCAAGGATTCGGAAGCTGCGCTTGCCTGGTGCTTCAGCCGAGCTGGGGTTGGAGGTGGTGCGTGCAAGCCGGCGCTGAGCAGGGCTTGTGAGGAGCTTGCCGCCATTGAGAGACCGAAGAGCGTCCATGGCCCACATGGGCTGGCAGAGTTGAGCGAGGACCAGTTGTTCCTTCTCAAGCTTGTCGAATTTAGCCTTCTCAGCTAGCTCGGATGTGATCACCGAGTTGCGAGGAGCCTTGGCAAAGGGGCCCTTGTACGCAGGTCGCTCTCGGCGGACAAGCTCATACTTGCCAATAAGACAATTGATATGCAGGTCGCTCATTCCAAGACGCATGGACTGAACAGCATCGAAGCGCATGTTACGGTGGAGGAAACCATCAGTCTTGCTTGATCGTTGCCTAATGGACTGGAAACCTTGCCAGTAAATTGAGTCCTTGCTGGCAAGCATTGACGGCAAGGGACTCAAAGCCTCGGGAATAGCCTCGGAAAATCGGACCATCTTCTTGGAAGACTCTTCTGTCTTCTCTTGCACTTCAGCCTCGGCAGCTTCAGTCTCATCATCAGCAGCCTGGATGGGCTCAAGCTCATTTACTGGATTGGTCTCATTGAGAGCGGCGAGGTACGAGGCCTGTGCAGCCAGCCAGACACTGGTTCGGTCGTGGCTGTCAACTGCACGGTGCTGTAGTTCCTGGTCATAAAGCTCGTCATATTCGTACCCATTTCCCGAGCGAGGAATCTCCTGAACTTGCACAGCATCAAAGGCAGCGCTCATCGGACTATCCTGGTAGATGGACCGACGCGTTGGTGTCTCACAGAGACGAATGGCAGTAGGCGGGTCTTCTTCATCTCGAACCGCTGTGACTGGGTCTTCTTCAACAGGGCGTTCGGGCCAGTCGACCACCTGCTCCACAATTTCCCCCTCATCCCGACGCCATGGCAGGTTGTAGAATCCTTCTGCTGCTGCTGATGTTGGCTGGTTGTTGGTATTTGGAATGGACCAAGTGTGGCGGGCACGCGGCGCAAGCGAGGCAAAGAAACCTCCAGGCGACGGGATGCTCAGGTCACTAAAGCTGTATCCAGACAGCTCGGATGCCGGAGTAACCCCATCAGCACTGCGTGGACGGCTGGGAGGTGCTTGCAGCTGCCACATCTCGCCATTTCCTTCGGAAGTTTCAGACCACGAGTCAGGTGTACCATCCAGACGAATATGGTGCAGCATAGCCAGAGCCGAGTCAGGTAGGAAGACACCCTGGTTCGTGGGCGTGGACTCGCGTATTGGCTCGTCATTCAATTGAAGCGACGGCGATGGTGAGGGTGAATATCTCTGAGCAGCAGAAGGAATCTGAGGGAAATTTCCCAGAACATGGCGCCAGTCATCGTGCGAGCTCTCAATGGCGATAGGCACTTCAATGTCTGAGCTGCCATCTCCATTGTCCATATCACTATCACTTCCATCCAGATCGGGTCGAACATGTATATCATGCGCGGTCCAGTTTGTATCTGGTAGAGACTGAGAGTCTGGTGTAGCCAATCCACTGATGACCGATTCCTGGTCGGAAGAGATACTTCCATCGAGCGAAGGAGGAGCGTGGTATGCGGGTACGGCGCGGCCGAGCATGGATAAAGCTGCAGGGGACACAGGGATCTTGGGAGGGGGAGTTGGTGGTATTGGCGAGCTCTTGTGACCCCCGGTCATGGATGGCCACACTGTAGGTGAAGGAATCTCGAGGGTGAGGAGGCGTTTTCGACTTCCTGTTGAAGTCACTGAGTTCCGAGTAATTGGTGTCACCAAACTTGATGGCCGGGTATCGGGGGAAAAGCACGAGTCGCTAATTTCCGTCTCATTGTCATCCATATCGTCATCTGTGGCGTCGTACAGGTCATCGTATCCTTGAGAATGTCGTTGCCATTCTGTATCTGTATCTGAGCAGCACGATGATGTTGTCCCCGCAGAGAGAGGCGATCTTAGACGAGCAAGGCGGGCATGTGTGGGCACTGATAGACCGGTTGTCTTGAGTCTCAGCTGCGGGCTGATTGCCGCTCGCGTGGGTCTGGGAGGTGAGGCCTTGGGACTAGTCTGTGCGAATTGTGACTCGCGCGTATCCTCCATTATAGTATTAAGCACCGTCCCTCGGGCCTGCCGGAGGGGCGGACATCGAGCAGTCGAGCGGAATGTGTCGGTCATCGTATCAACTGCTGGATGCTGGTTTGTGTGAATGACAGTATATCTAGGGTATCTCGGGTAGGAAATGAAGACACCGATCAACGGGTCTGATCAAAAGAAGGTGTGAACGGAACACAAGGAAACAAAATGAAAGTGCACAAGCTACCGGAGCAGGCACAAAAGACAAATAAACAGAACGCTAGACTTCAAAATCACGGCACTGAAATGCCTATATAGTCGATTGGGCGCTTTCACCAGCCGGGGAAGTCCAATGAACAGGCGATCCTTGCTCACGGATTGTCATATTGTTGTAGAACTACTGCAGCACTGGGCACGTTTAGTCCAATAACCCCGGTCGCGACGGTGGCTAGCAACGGTCTGATTGGTATTGAGAAAGTGGGCGCATCGCCTTGGACCAGGGTGTCATCTCCTGGAGGAAGAGCCAAGACCATTTTCTCAGCAAAAACGAAAGGCCGAATAGCAAAAAAGGTAGTGAGGGCGAATGAGCATCGTTGATGTTGTGATGAACCGCCGGGGTCGAGGGATGCAGTGTGAAGAGGTCGGTGATTGGCGCAGCGTAGCCGCCCGACTACTATCTTTAGGGGGATTAGCGGCTTTTCGACGTCAGTGCAACCTCATTTATGCCGATTTCCACTCAATACGGAAGGACTTGGGATAATTAATGATCGGTGAGAAAGGGAAATGAGGGGAAATGGCCGCCAAGAAGAGAGTAATGCACACTAAGACATGGCCCAACACATAATTATAGAACTGCTAATTGACCGCAGTTGGCCACATTTGTCCATGTGACTTGGATGTGACCTAAAGGCGCGTAGAGAAGCTAATCCCAACCTTCATACATGGACTGTGATACGATCTCCAAGTCACATTAGATTACCCTAATGGCGCTACCATAGACATGAGTTATCACCGTATGATCGGACTTTTCATAGTCACCTTCCCAAGGTTAATAGGGGAACTTTGAATAAGCGATAATTTAAATGGCCACGCCACACATACTGTAGACCTGTTGACAGCGGTTAGTGTGGCGCCTTCACATCATGTATGCAATTCTGGACACGACAGTGATACTTTCATATGCCAATGTATTCGATACTTCACTTTACGCTGACCGAGGCCCCTTGCCCACAGAAAATGCTAACCTTTTCGGAAGACCGGGAATGACTGCACATACATTGGGAGATAATGTTCCAGGCCAGCAGTAGTCTACCGGCGACTACCGTCTAGGTCTTGGCTCAGGCTATTAAGCATATCCATCAAACAATCAGATCACTTGCAGAACGCGGTAACAACCTAAACACATCACAGTTCCAATCTATGAGTTGTACAGATATCTTCGCGCTGCTGACCGTTGATTGCACGCATGCACACCTCTGATCTCACATCGAATTGTTGGTTCGAATCAAAAGCTGAGCTTTTAGTGCTCCAATATTAATCATTATTCTACGCATGAAGAGCTCCGGTGCATAATTCACCTCGCCTTCGAGCTTGTGCCGGATACATCAAGCTGGTTCGTATCGCGACGGGGAGTTCCGGTTCACAGCCAGATTTTAGTTAGCCCTAGGAGATTCAAGCGGAATCAGGAATACCGCTTTATATCGCAAAAGGATCATAGCCCGAATGATCTACTCAAACTGCATCCATAACACTCGGGTTTGTGTTGCTGGAAAGAGTCCTTGGAAGTACGTAGCCTATCTACCACCCCGGTACTTTGGTTTGGCCTCTGATTCAATCTGATGAATGTAACATCAATTCATCCATGCTAAAATGAAGTTGGAACGATCTAAGCGTTCGAATGGAGTGGATGTTTTACCTATTCTTCATTAAGGGATCTGCTACTCTTAGGCGACTGTAGTTCATTGATATTTTTGAAACATCAAGTGGCTAGCTTGACATATTTTGTAATGAACAAGGGCGAAATGATTGCAAGTTTGTTTCCGCTTCATCGGTTCATGTATTTTGGCGCGTAGTGCTGGAAAAAAGTATCCGAAGTAGTATATTTTGGGCGCATGGGCGACAGGGCCATACAACTATACAACAAGGCCTGTCAATTAAAATGATAGCATCATTCCTTATCTCTAAACACTTAGAATGTAATTTTCAAAAATGTTGAGAATAACCAGTCCGGAATTTGTTGTTGAAGTGTGTTGATCAAGCCCGGAGCAGTGTGCCCCGACTAGCAGGTGTGGCCCGCTTTTCCAACACAGTCCAAGCACGACATGGAATCGGGCAAAAGAATGGTGGTCCTAACGGCTATTGAAGGACGGTAGGAGAAAGAACGTTCCCGATCTGCGAGATACACATGTAGGAGGATCTACTGCTAGCCGATCGAGGTTCGAGGATGGTCACCAGGTAGAGTCCAGGCCATGATCAACAAGATAGTACCCAATAGCATATAGTACCTATTGGATATAGTTACAGCGGTCCGTGGATTCAAACCATCGAGGCTCACTATTAAGAATCAACCAAAGAAATGAGAACCGGTGGGGACATGATTGGCTGCTTAGGACTCTCCGAAGCTTCGAAGATTCCAGGCGATTCCTAATTTGTTTAGATCGAAATATCCCTGTCTGATCCCCTGTCTATCAAGGTCAGCAGACGGGTGCAATTTTTATTTCTTGTTTATGGCGACGGAATCACCCAAATGGGCAACCCAGGGTATTTCTGTAAGAGGAGTTGATTTGTCAGATGATCTATGCAGTCTCCATATTTTGCCCCCATCAGTCAATGGCAAGGGGCACCTGCATTGTACTGCAGATGTAGGGGAGGGCGCGATGTAGATCGTGGCTCCCACGTGAGAGTCGGAGCCCTTATCGGGTTCTTTGTGGAAAGAGTTGGGTAGAAATAGACAAGAGGAAAGAGAAAGAGAGGAAAGAAAAGGAAGCGAAACACCGAATAACGATGAGAACAAGTTATATACTTGTGTAGCCAACTAGAACCTCTACGGGTGTACGGTGAACCCACCTTCGCCACTCTACAGCTTCAGACATCGTCATACTAAAGTAATTTTTTTCTATATCTGCCCCTCCCCCTCCTTTCCACCTCATACAACACATCACGACTCACAATGTCACCGCCCGCCATCATCGCCCCCTCCATCCTCAGCGCCAACTTCGCCAATCTCGGCCATGATTGCTCCAAGAAGATGGAACAGGGCGCCGACTGGCTACACGTCGACATCATGGACGGCCACTTCGTGCCTAATATGACAATCGGCTGCCCCGTCGTCTCCCAGATCCGCGGCTGCGTCGACAGACCCCTCGAGCCCTGCGGCCGGGGTACATTTGATTGCCATATGATGATCATGGAGGTCCGTTGAGTATTCCCGCGGAGATCCGCGATCCCCCAAGCTTCAAGCTCCTCCAGTGTGAAGCTCCCAGCTGACATATTTTCTTCGTTATAGCCCCATAAATGGGTTCGCGAATTCAAGAATGCCGGTTGCGATCTTTACTGTTTCCACTATGAAGCGGCTGTCTCCTCCGTCGCCGCGACCGACCCTACCGATAAAGAGACCACCGATCGTACCAGCCCCAAGCAATTGATCCGTTATATTCATGAGGAAGGTATGCAGGCTGGTATTGCTATTAAGCCAGATACACCTGTCGATGTGTTGTGGGATATTCTTGAGAGTGAAGACCCCGCCGAGCGACCAGACGTGAGTTCTATTTCGAATTGCCCTTTCTATACCCAAAGTACTTGTACTGACTAGAATAGATGGTGCTCGTCATGACTGTGCACCCCGGTTTCGGTGGACAGAAGTTCATGGCTTCTGAACTCCCCAAGGTCGCTGCTCTGCGCGAACGGTTCCCCGATTTGAACATTGAGGTTGATGGAGGTCTTGGTCTGGGGACAATTGATCAGGCTGCTGATGCCGGTGCTAATGTGATCGTTGCGGGTTCGGCGGTCTTTGGTGCTGCGGACCCTGGCGATGTCATTGCCAAGTTGCGCGAGGCTGTCCAGAAGCGTCGCGGTTAGATACATACAAAAGGGGGTTTGGTGTTTTGGCCTTTTATTCTTAAATTACGAGTTATGATTGGCATTGTATGTGGGTGTCTCCATGGGGTTTTGATCTATTTGCGCTTAACTTGAGCAAGGGAATTGTTCAATGTACAGATTTCATAATCATCGAAGTCGTGAAATGCATCTCCCTCAGTCCTTGGACTCTGTCTCCTTATCCTCTGCGTCTTCCTTCTCCTTGGCCTCCTCGGCCTTGGACTCCTTGGATTCATCCTTATCCTTCACATGCTCTTTGACGTCGGACTTCTTGGTCTCAGTCTTGGGTTCCTCGGCCTTGGGCTCCTCAGCTACTGCAACCGCAGTTTTAGTGTCATTCACATTCTCAAAGAGCGGTGTCGCGACCTCCTCAATCGTGTCGGCTCCCGGTTGCTCTGCAGCCTGCTTGCGGATAGCATCGAGATTACCAGAAGGCTCGTCAGCAGTAATAGACGCCCTAATCTCACGCACAACCTTATCCTGCTCCGCCTTATCCGTAGTCGAGATGATAGAACCGCGATGATGCTCAACCAGCCCAAGCTCCTCGGCATTATCCGCGTGGAAGTTGGCCGATGACACGGCCGCCATTTCAGGAACGAGGATGGGACGTTTGGCTGTCTTGGGTGAATCGGGGGCAGTGTCTGGCAGCTCGGCGGCGACGGAGCCGCGGTGTCCACGGGGGGCTGGCTTCTCAGCGGGTTTCTCCTTCCCCGGTTCTTTCTTTTCTTCGGACTTGGACGCGGCCTTGGATGCGGCCTCCGAGCTGGCCTGGCGCAGTGCAAGCACAGCTTTGTCGTCTTTCTTCTCTTCCGTCTTAGTCGGCGGGCTTTGGATCTTGATTGTGGAGGGCCTGGGGGTTGCGGGTTCAGGCTCGGTCTTTGTCTCGGTCGCGGCGGGGATTGGGTTGCTGGTTGCTGGCATTCCACCCAGGTCCTGGACGCTGAGGACTACCAGACGGAGCTCGCCGAATTCGTTCCATTCTTCGATTTGTTCTAGATCCTGTGGTTTGGGGGTTAGTGGTGGTGTTGGGAGAACTGGGAGCTGTCTTCCATGCAAGGGGATGGTCACATACTCCCACAATGTCGCCGTATTTCACCAGGCCTGGTAGCTTCTTGCCCTTGGAGCGGCGACCCCAGAGCTTCCGAGCAGATTCGTCGGTGGCAACATCCACAGCGCGGAAGGGAAGCTTGTTTGCCTTGAGAATTGTCTCAATGCGGGCAGTTGCGGTGACGATGTGCGATGACCCCGCGGTCAGGGACGTGTAGAGGTAAAGAGTTGGGTCGGACATAGTGTGTGTGTGTGTGTGTGTGTATGTGTGTGTGTAGAGGTCAAGATGACGAGAGGGTGAGGTGAGGGGTTGAAGGTTAACCAAAGTCTTTAATGATCCTCTAACTCGAGCTTGAGCGTGTGGAAGATCGAATTTCCCCTGAGGCTTATGACGTATCACGTGCAAACTACATGTATAGACTTGCAACAATTTATTTTAGTCTAATCTTCAATCTTCGCCTTATATCTTTCTAACTCCCATGATGTAGTCTTCCTTCTCTCTCCACAATATGTGCCGTACAATGTCTCCAACGGTTACCCGCCCTGGCAAACGGCCCCAGCGTGGCAACTTGACGTCACTCCAACCCAATTCCAGGTTTGGCATCATTTGGGTCCAATAGCAGTCTGTTTTATGTCAGTTTCAGTTTGGAATACTAGTCAGTGCAGACTATTGCAGGGCTTGGGAGTTTGGCTGTACTCTGTACATGAGGATATGGCGTGTCTAAAACATCATGGATGAGTGCGCCTGACCTATATCGAAGTCTCAGTGCCAGTGCCCATAGCTCTGGTTCGTACGTAATGTGATCCAGTCGCCTCCTGGTGCATCTGACTCTTATTTCTACCACAGCTCTAGGCATCGAGCAGTCTTTCAATGACCACCAGCAAATCATGAGCGAACGAATTGTCAACATCAAGCCTACCTCACACACTAAAATTAGTGAATAGATTGGCCAGCACAGCAGAGGACGCGACAATCCGATATACACCAGCTGCTCATAGAATCGCCATCGTCTGGTACAGGTATACGCAATATACGCAACTCTATAGCAGGGCATCTATCGGTCCAAATGCAACACGACAATGTACAAGCAAGGATCCACCTCGGCGATCCAGACTGAATGTGTTATACCATCCATCCTCACCAAGTACACACCCAGAGCCTTAAAAATGCGTCGCAAACCCGAGGCGCAAGCCAGCCATGCACAGCCGGAGCCACCCCCTTGTCAAACGACAAAGACAATTGACCTACTCACTCGAACATCCAAGCCCTTGGAAACCGGCCTATGGAGCTCGCATGGCATCTTTATTTATCCTGACGCGAATCGGGACCCTCGCACCCGACTGGGTGGACAGGATTGCTTGTGGCTTGACTTGGCGGTGGTTGCAGGTTGCCAGTCGGATCGTTGGATGGGTTGTCTCATGACAGAGCTGCGGATTCAGTCTTTGTCTGAATGTTTCTAGGTTACAGATCGAAGATTAAACGTGGGATTGTCGGAGTATAGAACGATACTCCAGTTGAAGTAAGCCCCCGTTGTCGATCTGTTCGGTTAGATTCTGCGTTCCCTTCTACTTCGGGGAATTGATATAATTAGGAAATATTAGGCAGTGAGAATATAGTAGTGGCTATTTACCTATTCCAGTCCCCTGCATCGAAATGGCCACCCGTGCACAAACTCAGGAACCTATCATTATAGAAAGCTCCCCTTCGCCGTCCAATCTCACGTGTGCCATATCCCAGTCCAGGACAATGCAGGCAGCAGGTCTGGGCTGTGATGCAGGGGCTGGCTTATCAGGATTTCAGCTTGAAAGACACATGTCGGAGTAACTTGTAGGGGGTTGGCGGTTTTGATTGCTGTGTTTCTGGTCCCGAATGACGAAACTGAGGTTTGCTCTAGAGTCGATCAGGAGACGTAGATTCGACTTGACGGTGAGGCCGGGTATCGTGTCAAATGGTGGACGGACTCTCGGGCCACCCTGTAGAAGGCGGTGCAGCAATAGCAAATCCCCGATTTGTCGGGTGTATAGGTCCTTTTTAGTAGAGAGTGATACATCCAAATCATTCTGCACTTAGTTTTGTCCACAACGCTCAGGGCGATCAAAGTCTATCCTGAAATAGAGAACGACGTAATGAGTGAAGAACTTGGTAGTGTACTTCTGGCATGAAACGGCGGCAGCACCAGTAGTCGCCCAGGATCAGCATTTGGTTTCAATAGAAGGGTGGAGCGTGCATCACGTGGAGTTACTAGTGCAGAACCCGAAAGGATTAGGCAAGCAAACTGCTGGAATACTCCCTTCTCCGTAGTTCACATGGAATGCCTCCTGTTCTAGATTTGAGATCCTGGAACCATGGAACTGGTGCGGGAGTTGCCCATGGTTCAACAACGTATAAACAGCTCAAATATCGAAGATCTCTCTTCGCATTTTCATTTGCATTTTCATCGGTTGGGCATTCGAGCTGCACCTGATGGACCACAGCGACGTGGCAGCCATCCAGACGAACCATCCGCATCTGAGGGTCTTGGCTGGAGGGCTCAAGGGTTTCCCGCTGTAGGCGCTGTATTCGCGGAAAGGGGATGTATATGTATAGACAGGTAGCAGGTCACCTTTTCGTAAGCAAAGTATTCGCTGGCCTCGGGAGACTCTCGGGCTGATCCGGTTCGCTGCCTCACTTTTTGGTCTTTCTCGCTCCCGCAGCTCAGCCAACGAGATGTCTCTTTCCCGTCTGTCACCCGGGCTTGCTCCGATGGTTTGTTACAATACATCATAGTGGGTATAGGGGTCCAGACTCGGGATCGACTTGGAGTATAGTAGCCTCTGTTAATCCTCGTATCTCATTTTGTAGGGGACCTTCTTGAGCCCAATATTTCCCTCTTTTACGCGTCTTCTCCCAACTTATGATATTCGGTGATCTACCAATCCACCTCAGATCCTCTGTCTTGATAAGATCGGCTTTCCATCTGCCTGCCACCTGCCATCTGCTTTCTGCAATTATTTCCCCCCAGATCTACGTACGTTGTTCCTATTCTGTCGCAGCTGTATACTAACCCGCGCAGACTCCTCTCCCTACATTTGACTACTGATAGACAGTGACTTACCCGGCCATTGTCCATTGTGAGGAATCGTTCCACACCATGACTGTCCACCTGGCCGACGATGAACTGTTCACGAGAGCCATCTCCGGATACCGCGAAGTGTTTTTGGTTCAACATTCCCACCTCTCGGAATCCGAACAGATCCAACTCTGGAGGGAACGGCTCGGTCAGTTCATGCCGGCCCCCCAGGATGAGCCCGTAGGGAAACCAGGGAAACGGTCTCGACAAGATGCGACTCCTCGGACGATACCTCCCTGTGACTCTGGTCTCCCACGGGCAAAACGGAGAGCCACCGTAGGTGACCTTGGTCTCTTGCTCCTCTCGTCTCCTGCTCCCATGCGATCGCTTCTCTTGTCTTCTGACCCGCCACATCCGTCCTTGGATTGACCATTGGCAGACCCCGGACCTCGCAGTCTCCGATCTGACGCGGAACCTCTCGCACGCCTCCTCTCCTGACCTACCGCGGACCGCGTCCCTGTCGACTCCCGAGGGAGCCTACCGTCACACCGCCATGGTCCGCTCCCAAAGCCAGCAGATCCCGGTCTCCCACCGACACCCGCCTGCCGGGGCCGCCATGGGCAAACGCCAATCCTTCGGCCCCCGGACCCGTCGTCTCGACCATGTCGACGAGTATTCGCCCTCCGAGTACGCCCGCTATTTGGACACCTCGCAGCCGTTTGACGCGGCCTGGACTTTCAATGGACGGACTGGACCATCCTCCCCGTGCCCCTGGACGTCCCCCTTCGACCAGGCCTCGACATCGGCAGTGGAAATGTCACGCAGCGAAACCACCGACTCACTCATCGGCGGCATCGACATGTTCCGCTTTGACTCGTCCGGACCATCGCAGACCCCAACATCCATCGGCTCCGTTCCGCCGGACTGGGTGCCAGCTTCCTCCCCTTTCACGTATCAAGACCCCTTTCTCTCTGTGTATCCTGACCTAGATCCCACAATCCCCATGACGTTCTCCAACACCTCCCCCTTCTCAACCTCCGCTCCCCCATCCACCCCCTTTTGCCCCATGCCCCACGCCTTTCCCTCAATGGAGGCAGCGGAAATGAGACCCTCGGATTCATTCGACAGCATCAACTCGGCAGCTTCACAATCTCGCGCCGCACGCCGCACTCACGAGCAAATCGCCCATGGCGCCCGTCCCATCGCGCCAAAGCGCGACTCCCACGACAGCACCATGACCCTCTCCGACCCAAGGGACCCGCACAAGATGCTGCGCATCTCCTCGGCAGACGGCACGACCAAGGAAGTGGCCGCCATCCCCAAAGCATCAATCCACAGACCCCCACGCCCAAAGACATACTGCCACCTCTGCCAAGACCATCCAGACGGCTTCCACGGCGATCACGAGCTGCGCCGCCATATCGAGCGCGTGCATTCTTCCGTCCGCAAGGTCTGGGTGTGTGTCGATATCTCGACCGATGGGAATTTCCTAGGGAACTGCAAGGCTTGTCGGAATGGGAAGAAGTACGGGGCGAATTATAATGCCGCTGCGCATTTACGTCGTACCCATTTCAATCCTTGTCAGCGGGGTCGCGGTGGGCGTGGGAAGGAAAGTGAGAAGCGCGGTGGGAAGGGCGGTGGTAATTATCCGTCTATGGACGTGTTGAAGCATTGGATGGTCGCCACTGAGGAGGTCATTGACGGCGCATCTCTGGATGGTGTCGAGTCGGGGGTTCTAGTTCGGGGTGAGCGCAATGTTCCGATGCATTTCGAGGTCGACGCGACTGTCTGCGAGACTGTTGAAGATCATGTCCCGTTTAATATGGGTTCGGCGCCATTTGATGGGTATGGTCAGTTCTCCGAGGTCCCTGGCGCGCCGTTCAAGCTCGATCTTGATCTCGAAGAGCAAGCTCCTCCCAAGTCTCCGGTCTATTTCGACCCTCAGCGACCGTTCTCGCCAGAAGTGGATTCGTATGTGTGAGTTGGGCGTAGTCTCTTGTATGTTCCTGTCCGCAGTTCATATTCTTTGGTTCGTGTATTGTATTCTTTTGGGTTTGGGGGTTGGATCTGGTTAGGGTGGATCACGGTGTGATTTTCATTGGCGATTATATGTATATGGAGCTATAATGAATGTTAATGAAATATCAAGTAGCATGTACAAGCATTCAGGGCATCCGTGGTACGGAAGCCGAAGTACCGGGTACCGCGTAGGCAACAACAATACGGTGAAGTGCCAAGAGGAGCCGATCACCCGGAAGAACGCGTTGGATGTTTCATGAGTGGCTGAAATGCCTCAGTTGCGGGCCTTGACAGCCAATAGTGCGCTCCGGCCGCAGCGAGATTTGTGGCTGACTTCGTTGGTCAGTAGGGCTGGTGGCTGAAATCGTGAGAGATACAGCCAGGGTACAGGGTTTCGGTACCTCTGATCCCACAGTTGAAGTGAGTGTGCTCTGTCAGATGTATTCTCAGTCCCAACACGTAGTCGGTAGATGTAAACGAAATAGAGAGATGTGTAGAAACCATCACATTGAGAAATCTTCAAAAGGGGCAGAAAAAGGTACTTGGCGGGTACCTCAGCCCTGCGTTCTTGGCGGTCAAACCCTCACTTCGGGGGCCCCGGGCAAGTACCTCCCAAGTACCCCAACTCTTTCTTCAGTTACACCTGTAAAGTCAGTCTTCTCCTCTTCTGATCCTCTCACTTCTCTTCCTCATCTCCCTTCGCCCTTCTTTCATCCATCCCATTCGCTTCTCTCGGTGTCTTTTCACAGACTCCCATCCTCAGCCAATCTTCGTTCCTTAACAGACCCAGGTATGTGGTTTTTACCGCCGTGGCTGTCGTGTATCCTCTCAGGGCCCTGCTTCAATCGCCCCGAGGCGCAGCCTGTCCCTATCGCGTTGCTTGTGATCACCTTGCTGATTTATTTTCTCCTTTGTCTTCAGAATCGTCAGCGCCATTATGTCCTACCAGCAGCCGCAGGGCTACTATCCTCAGGGCGGACCTCCCCCGCAGGCGTAAGTCCATATCTCGATCACATATACCTCCAATTTGGCGGTCGCTTTGAGCCCCAAAGGGACTGAATGCGATGGTCACATCGGCCGACTTCAGACCGCTTTGCGACCGCCAAAGTTGTGACCTAGTTTAACCCCGTCTCGCATCTAAAACAACACGATGGAATTTGTTCTGATTCGGACAATAGTTACGGTGCTCCGCAGGGCGGCTACTACCCACAAGGCCCTCCTCAGGGTCCTCCCCCTCAGGGCTACTACCCACCCCAGCCGGTACGTTCCAACTCTGCAAACAAATCGCAATGTTCGGGGTTCTTTCCATGCTAACTATCTCCAGGAATACCAGCAGCAGCCCATGTACCAGCAGCAGGCTCCCCCTCCCCAGGAGAAGAAGTCTGGCGGTGGTGGCTGCCTCGGATGGTGGTAAGTGCTCGTCCGGTTGTGATCAATGAAAAAGCCACTAACATGCCATCTTTACTTCCAGTCTGGCCACTCTGTGCTGTTGCTTTGTCTGCGAGGAGGGCTGCGAGTGCTGCGCTGAGTGCTGCGAGTGCTGCGAGATGTGCTAAACTCTATGACCTATGACATCCACGATACTTTTTTCTTGCTGGCGTTGATCATTCTCGCTATGCCCGGCAGCGTTCTGGGACAAACTACACCACTCTCTCAGTGCAATAATTTCCTTTCGTCCACGTTTAGTTGAGCTTCCTTCTTTTGGAATGGATACTTCCAGCATACTCAAATCGAGCTCCACATTTGCTCCTCGCATTCTTGAGTTAATTTGATCCCCATTGGGAATGTCCCTCTGTTTATCTACGACCATGTACATAGGTACTGCCATAGATGAATACCTGGCTCCAATCAAGCCCAGCTTTGTACTAATATTCCGGGGCTTGGCATTGATACCTGAGCGTTACACCAGAATGATAACATTGAATTTGATCTTCACCTACGATCTGTAGTATATATCGATGGTACCGCCATGAATAATGCAAGTCTGATCCTACTGCAGATCAACGGCTTACTTCGACTACATGTAGTTACGGACTTAATCGGTCCATCTGTATTTATAATATTACAGCCGAGGATCTGCATGGAGGCGCCTCACTAAAAGTCTAGCCTCTCAAGGGATTGGCGACTAGGTAGTCTCCTTCTTGTGCCTAGGCGCCTTGCCTATGCTTCGTTAGGTTAGCACTTGCAGAGATGCCCGAACATGACATTTAATAAAAGCCTGTAAGATGTGCCTTGATTTATGTTGTTATTATTTTCTGTTTCACACGCAAGTTTCATGCTTCGGTCACCCTTCTCAATCATAAAAAGCCGCATCTTATAGTAACATCGGAACAAACATGGAGAGCGGCGTTGGACCAAGTCCACTCCATAGTAATGGACTGTGCCTATTGTCACTCGATGGCGGTGGTGTAAGGGGCTTGTCAAGTCTCTTGATATTGAAGGAGATCATGATGCAACTCAACTCGAAGCGCGAAAACAGCCCGCACCTTAAGCCTTGTGATGTGTTCGATCTGATTGGGGGTACGAGTACAGGAGGGTGAGTGTTGCTAGAACTATATGCGGACAGGGCTAAGATGTATTGCACGCTATCAGGCTGATCGCGATAATGTTGGGAAGATTGGAGATGGATGTTGATGAATGCATTGTGGCATACACTGAATTGATGGAGTTGGTTTTCAGTGAAAAATTGAACAGCGTTCCAGTGGATTGGTCGGGAAATATAATATCGCAGTATGACAGCGCAAAGCTCAAAGCGGCAATTGAGAATGTCATTCTACGCTCTGGGCTGTCGTTAGCGGATCCAATGGACGATGGAAAGCCCTGTCTATCGCGAATCTTTGTCTGCACTACTTCCAAAGATACGCTACAAACCACCCGCATTCGAAATTATACCGTGCCCAATGAGGTTGCATTGGGGGCGACCATTTGTGAAGCAGCATTGGCAACGTCTGCCGCAACACGATACTTTGACCCGGTTACAATCGGAAATCGCCAGTTCGTTGACGGCGCATTCGGTGCCAACAACCCTGTGGAAGAGGTCGAAGAGGAAGCGGCTGACATATGGTGTACCACAAGTCGCGACCTGAAGCCATTAGTGAAGTGTTTTGTTTCCATCGGGACAGGAAATCCAGCACCAGTAGCTATTGATGACAATGCCCTCAAATTTCTTTCGAAAACGCTGGTCAGAATGGCCACCAAGCCCGAGAGTACTGAACGTCGTTTCATGGCTCGGTGGAGCAACGAAGTGGAGGGAAAACGGTTCTTTCGTTTCAATGTTGAACAAGGATTGCAGCAAGTGCACATGACGGAGTTCCAGAAACGAAGCCTGATGGAGTCTGCCACACATGATTATATCCACCAGTCTGGCCAGAAGGTCCGCGTTCGGGATTGCATTTTGAACCTTGCGGGAAAGGAAGGTAAGAAATGAGACTCACGACCGATCATAACATGAATGTGAGTTAGCTTCGATTCTCATACCTTCACAGAAAAGACGAGTGCAGATTTTGAAATCCTCATAAATGTGAGATACCCAAGATGATCGTGTGGGAGAATCCATTGACTGGCGAGTATATTGACTATCAATTAGGAGCACCATGCTCTTATCATTCGCAATCGGATTATGGCAACCGTTCACTCTTCCAACTTGACCGTGGGTGTCAATAAGCCTGCATGTTGGGCGGTTCCATTTGAAAGAAATACTCGATATGTCGACCGTGAGGTCGTGGGCAAGCTCAAAAGAAGACTCTTCACCAAACACAGACTGGAAAGAATCGCTATCTTTGGGCTTGGTGGAGTAGGCAAAACACAGATTGCTTTGGAGCTTGCATATCAAACAAGAGAGTTGTATCCTGACTGCGCTGTCTTCTGGCTCGCTGCAGTGGATATGGAGACTATCCAGCGAACATACCAGGAGGTGGCGGACAAGCTTGGAATTGAGCACGCCAATCCAAACGATGATGTGAAGAGTCTGGTACAAACTCATCTCAGTAAGCCCACTGCTGGCCGGTGGTTACTGATCTTTGACAATGCCGATGAACTCGATATGTGGACTGAGACCAAGGATTCAACGATTGGCCGACTTGAAAGCTTTCTACCCAAGAGTGACCAAGGTGCCATTGTCTTCACCACCCGAAATAGCAGGGTGGCTCAGTATCTCGCCGCTACAGACATCATTGAGATCCCCGAGATGAGCGAACACAAAGCTACTCATCTTTTACGAAATTCTTTGACAAATAAAGAACTTCTTAATGACGGCATAAGTACTCGCAAGCTTCTGAACTGTTTGACTTTTCTTCCATTGGCCATAATTCAAGCCGCTGCATTCATGAACCAGAACCGAATGACAATCGCAAGCTATGTTGATCTCTTGAATGGACAAGAGCAAAACGCTATTGATCTTTTGAGCGAGGACTTTGAAGACAAAGGTCGATACAAAAGTGTCCGCAACCCTGTGGCGACTACGTGGCTTACATCCTTTGGACAAATTCAACGAACAAGCCCCTTAGCGAGTACTTACCTTTGTTTTATGGCCTGCATTCAACAAAAGGATATACCGGTCTCGCTTCTTCCTCCAGCGGCAGATGTCGAGAAGCAGAAATCGATTGGAATTCTCAGTTCTTATTCCTTTGTACGATTGAAAGATCAAGATTCTCAACTCGATATGCATCGCTTGGTTCAGCTTTCCACAAGAAATTGGATGCGATCTATCAAATCGTTAAAAGATTGGGAAAGCTATACGCTGCGGGTATTGGACTCCTTGTACCCGGTTATAGAGGTGGAGTTTTGTAATCAATGGCGAGCAGCAGTACCTCATGCCATTCGTATCCTTGGCCTCACGTCAAAGGATAATTTCACCTCTGAAAGATCTCGCCTCTTGTGGAAGGTTGCAAGATGCCATTCAATTGATGGAAGGCTCAAAGAGGCCGAACGGCTTTATGGCGAAGTGATCAAAGTTGCAGAAGTCTCGGGCGACCCTGAAAACCCCTATATTCTTCTAGGCCGTTCGGGTCTGGCAAATGTCTATCTGATACAGGGCAACAAGGAACAAGTGGTAAAGCTGGGTAAAGAATGTCTTGAGCTCAGCATCAAAATCCATGGCCCTGATCACCCTGATACGACCCGGGCTCTCCTTCAGTTGGCATGGGCACACAGTTCGCTCATCGACAAAACGGATGGTCAGAAGGCTGAAGAGTACAGCAAGTTAGCAATCCAACGATTTATTAAGAGCCTCGGACCAGGAGACCCTGAGACAATGGAAGCAATCATGAGTTTGGTGACGATCTATAGATCCCAAGGAAGGCTCTCGGATGCGGCAGAACTATCCTTGCAATGGCTGCAGATCACGAAACGGGTGCTTGGGCTACACCATCCTCGAACCGCGAGCGGTATGCTTAGAATATCTCGGCTGTACCTTGAGCAATGGCGACTGAAAGAAGCCGAGGCCATGTGTGTGGAAGCAGCTGGATTGTGCAAAAGTACCCTTGGGTCTGAAAGCCCTCAGACATTCCAAACTTTGGAGTGGCTAGCTGTCATATGGGAATACCAAGGACGACGGGATGATGCTGCCAAGTTGATGAGAGAATGCATCCATTTGAATGCTCAGGTCTTCGGCGAAGATCATCAGTTCACCCAAAATCTTTGCTCTCAACTGGAGTCGTGGACTAAACCCAAGTAAGAATCCTTTTTTTTTTTTTTTTTCGCTCATGATGGATAGCCCTTTCAAGATACTTTCATGGCGTACACACTAACACAATTCTACAAGAACAGTGGCATCGGTTTTGAAAAACAGTTGGAGCGGGTTTCGGCGTAGCGAGATGATGTTGGAACGAAGAAGTCGATATCCGAAGGTAAAGGTGTACGGACTTTATAATGCTGCACGGCAGCCGAAAAACGACCCTTGGATCAGCGAGATCAAAGAAGCAATTGAGGCTATGTCAATAGGAAATCAAGACTCCAGCAGCCAAGCAACATTTTCTGGAAGTGAGATTTTGCCTGGGACCAAGTTGGAAAAACAAAAGAACCTAAGGTAAATCTGAAACAAACGAGAGGCTCAAGATTTTGAATTCATTTGCTTTGGTGATTTGAGTTTGGATATGAGAGATGTACAACTGGGAGGAAACCCCTCGAGTATCACGCTTACAAGCAGCTAAAAATTGTTTGCGTAGTCCTATTGAGTAGAATTGAGGCACACTTTCATCTTCACTTAGAGCCATGCTTTCACATATGTGTCGGTGGGGACATGAATATATGCAAATGTTGGTTGTTGTCAAAAAAAGGAAACTAAAGCCGTTTACCCACCACACACTCTAGTATCACAATATTCAATCCTCAGCATGAGATTGCCATTGGTGCGAAGATATCTCTTTCCGAGCTCTCATATTCAATAGCGTCGAAAGCCCTACTTCCAATAACTCCACTAGCTATACGAATGGGCGGAAGTGGCGGAGAGCCATCGCGAGTCATCCAATCAAAATACACACCTAGTATCAAGGTGAAGCAGGTCCTGGTTGTTTGGGACATTCCACGGACAATATTTCCAAAATGCGAAGTGGTGTGATGCCAACATGATCCTGAGAATTGATATCGGTCGCGACCATCGGCGGCCATCGCAGAATAGGACCACAGGTTCGAACATATTAATATGAATTGCCTCAAACCAACACTATGCGGGCCTATGATTAGCACAAATATATTTTTCAAGTACCCTCACACGAAACCTGTCGGCATACCCGGCCCCAAGATTATTCGAGCGCAGCAAGCCTGCCGCTGTAAGACCGGGACTCCACTGTGGCTATCGGAACAGACAAGAATTGGTTAGTAGACCACCGAAGACACGTGCCCAACGACTCCTGCGTCGCACACTTCACTCTATTGGGTATATGATTCATAGAGTAAGGGGCTTCGGCTTGTGGCGATCTTGTGGTGCACTTGCTCTTAGAAATGGCTTGGTTCAAATAGAACAGACTATTACAAGGGATCTCTCTCCAATATCAAGAAGGGCAGCCATGCTTTCACTCTGTTGATCCGAGCTGATCAAAGTTGAGATCCGATTTGTCTCGGTTGGGCCCGAAGCTCCCAAAGAGGAAAGATCTGATAAACACAGATAAACTTGGGTGTTGAAAGTTGCGCAAGCGAAGCAGAGAACAGGAAAACGCCCGTGAAATGGCCCACAACTAATTTCTCGGCCCAAAGAGGCCAAGCGAAGCTTGAACAGCCACTCCGAAGCTTGGTGTGGGCCACGCTTGCTGATTGCGTGTTAGGGCTCGCTAGATAAGATTACCGCGACATCTGATTAGATCTTCCTCGTTGCTAGTGGAGACTCCAAGACCAGAGCAAAACGTCTTAGCCTGCGTTTGTGGACTCGCGCGAAATGTTTTTATCAAATTAAAACCCTTGGCCACGCAAAGGCCCAGTTTTGTCTGCGTGTCAGAGCCCGTGGTTCTGGCCGGCGGCCGATCTCGGGTAAACAATATTTTTCTATAAAACATCCGGACTCCCACATCCTGGTCTCTTGACTATCTCTGTCATTATTTCTCTATGGGTCTTCGTCCCTTGATCAAGAGGGGCCGAGCGGTCATGCGCCGCTTGGGCGCCGACAATACTGATACTGCGCCTAGCTTTTGGGTCGAAACTACCGAGGGAGCTACCTTCGAGGAAGCCAAGAGAGAGCCTACTGTTGAGGCTCCGGCTCAAGAGCCGGAGCAGCCTGCCGCTGACCTTCAGCATGGTGTCCGCAATGTCGAGGCTATTACCATGACCTGGTCTAAGACCACCCTGATCTGTGTCTTTATCAAGTATGTTCCTTTTGACTTTTGTTTGCCAGCCGACCAAACTCCAAGATCTAACAAGTAATTTTCATAGTATCTGGTTCCTCTACTTTGTCAATGCCTTCCAGTCCACAGTGTTCTACAGCTTGAGTCCGTACATTTCCAGCTCTTTCCAGGCTCACTCCTTGTCTGGTGTGCCCATGGCTCTCGCTGATGCTTTCACTGCGGCTTGTTACCTACCTGTCGGAAAGCTCATGGATACCTGGGGTCGTGCCCAGGGTTTCCTTCTGATGACCGTCTGTGCTACTCTTGGCTTGATCCTGTTCGCCTCGTGTAACAGCTTTGCCATCTACTGTGTTGGATATGTAAGGTGGCCAACAAGAGACTCACCGCAAAGTTTTATGATACTGACTATCGATGCAGATCTTCTATCAGCTTGGCTTCAGTGGAATGGAGTATTCCATCGATGTCCTTACGGCCGATTCCTCTACCTTGAAGAACCGAGGTCTGGCATTCGCCTTCACCTCGTCGCCCTATATTATCACTGCCTTTGCTGGCCCCAAGGTTGCCGACGAGTTCCTCTACCAAGTTAGCTGGCGTTGGGGCATTGGCTGCTGGGCCATTATTTTCCCTATCGTTGCGGCGCCATTGTACTACATGCTCCAGAGCAACTTGAACAAAGCTGTCGAGCAGGGCCATGTTCTTAGACAGCCCAGCGGCCGCACCTTCTTGCAGAATGTCTGGTACTGGACGATGCAGTTCGATCGTGGGTATTCCTGCCTCCTCGGCTATTAGCCGCATCGTTAAATTCACTAATCCTGACCTTGATCAGTGCCCGGTGTTGCCATGTTTACCATCGGTCTCGTTCTGTTCGAGGTTCCCTTCGATATTGCCAGTGAGGCTCCTAACGGCTGGGCCTCCGGGTACATCATTGCTATGCTTGTTGTCGGATTCTGCATGCTCTTCATCTTTGGCTTTTACGAATGGAAAGTGGCTCCCGTGCCGCTGCTCCCTATGGAGTTCTTGCTCGACCGGACGGTCCTCGGCGCCTGTCTCTTGGATGCAACTTACCAGATCTCTTACTACTGCTGGTACAACTATTTCACTTCTTTCTTGCAGGTTGTCAACAACGTGACTGTTGCCCAGGCTGGTTACATCAGTAACACCTTTGATGTTGTCTCCGGAGTACTCCTCCTCATTGTCGGTTTCATCATCCGCCAGACTGGCCGCTTCAAGTGGCTGCTCTACATTTCCGTTCCTCTGTACCTTTTGTCGCAGGGTTTGATGATCTACTTCCGCAAGCCTAACATGTCGGTCGGGTATCAGGTTATGTGTCAGATCTTCATCTCTATTGGTGGTTCAATTTTCATTATCGTCGAGCAGCTCGCTATTCTGGCCGCCGTGGATCACCAACACGTCGCCGCAGCTCTGGCCTTGCTCAATGTCGTTGGCACGATTGGTGACTCCGCCGGTTACACTATCTGCACCGCTATCTGGACCAACACCTTCGAGAAGGCGCTCATCCGCTACCTTCCTGAATCAGTTCTGTCGAACTTGGATATGATCTACGAGGATCTCAACACGCAGATCGGCTACCCAGTTGGAAGCGCGACAAGAACAGCTATTCAGAATGCGTACGCATACACTGAGGTGCGGTTGCTTGCCACTGGTTTGGGTATCATGGCTCTGGCCATTGCTTGGACTATTATGATAAGAGACATTGATCTCAAAAAGAAGCCCCAGGTCAAGGGTGTCGTCTTCTAAAAAGCCCAAGGAAGGGGACAGGCGGTGTTCCTCAGGTATATATCCGCATCCTGTGAAATGGGCTCTCTATTTCGCAAAATTACTTCGAGGGACTCAGTGGTGGCCGTTGGTTCTGATCGCTATCTGCTGCTTCATCCTTCGCGTTGTCCATTTGTTGTCACTCCGCTTTACATATGTCAAGCTCTGCTCTTGTCCGGTCTGATAAAGAAGAAACCTCCATACTAATAATATATACCCGAATTGATCTTTTTCGCGAGCCTTGCTTCCTCTCATCATTTGCAAATTTTCTACAGTTGGTGCCATGAATCTGAGGCAGCAATTTCCAAGCCCTGTACCTCTTCTTTCGACGATAAAATAGGATCATAGTGTTATCTAGTGAAACGTGGTGGACACTTGGTGGAAAAGGGGTTTGCCAAATGCACCTGGGTAAAACACCTGGGCAAAACAGCTGGGTGACTATCAGCCCCTGTTGGTTTTGCTTTTTCTTTTGCCCACCAGGCTTGCGGGCTATGTCTAGCGCACTTTGACACTTTAGCTAAACACGTTGGCCGTATCCGGTGCGGGGCTTCAGGTAACTTACTGACTAAAGATATTGTGTTATGCTTGTCCAAGCTCTCGACATATCACACCCTCAACATACGCTCCGCAATGGCATCAGACCAATACGCAGAATTATGTGACCAGATTTATGCGCAGATCATGGGAAAGTTGGAGAATTGCTACAAAGACGGGACTCGAGTTGCTCGTTTTGCTCCGATCGGAACCGCCGAAGAGGTGCTGAACCCAGAGATTCTATACTCTTTCTTTCGCAGTCTTCAGTTGCCTCAAATCAAAACAAAAGACCTCAACCTTGGACTGGATAATTTGGTCAAGAGGATGGAGGAAAGGGGGCTATACACCTTTCTGGCCATTCTTATCTTCACCTCGTGTACAATAGAGGCCGCTCGAACATTCACCCTGAAGCTGTTAGCTCCCAAGGAGAGGCCCAAAGATTCTGGCTCCCTGCCAGCAGAGCGCGAAGCCCTTACATCGATTTTTGGGGATCCGGTCACGCCAGACAAAATTCTGTCGGCGCAGGCATGTTTTTGTCCAATTGTGATTTGCAGCAAAGAAAAGGACCGGATTGAGAGCTTGGAGCGCGAATGTCTTCCCTATTTGGAGCAGGAGCTTCGAGGAGAAGGAGCGTTTGGCACGGTGTATCGGGTGAAGATCGCCAAGGGCCACTTCTACACTCGTAAGCTGGGATCAGCAAATTCGAACCCTGTTGATATCGCGCGCAAAGACTTCCGATCCAACGAAGACATTGAGCTCGAGGTCATGCAGCAGATTCTATCTTGTAAGCAGACCTGTGCAAACATTGTTGAAATTTATGGGAGCCTTGAAATCGGCTCGACCGGATACAGCATTTTCATGCCCCTCGCCATTTCGGACCTCAGGGCTCATATGAAAAACGATACGCGTCCAAGACCAAGTGCGACTGAAAGAACAGATATGATCCTCGCTGCTGCAGGGGTCGCCGGGGGCTTGAAATTCCTCCATAATGGCATGGATATGCCTCGGGGTGGAAAGCTAGTCTGTTACCATATGGACCTAAAACCAGATAACATTTTGATTTTTCTAGACAAGGTTGATGGTCATGGGAAGCCGCATTATATCTGGAAGATCAGTGACTTCGGCATGTCTCGTGTCAGGTACCAGGATGATAATGAGGTCGAAAGGCACGAGAGAACCCTCACAAGTTGGTTTCATGAAAGGCCCGTGGTCCCATCTCTCGCTGGGACTTATAACAGGCGACTAGAGGGCACATATCTGGCACCTGAATCTCTTCTCCCAAGCAGAAGTATGAAGGCTGCCAGCGACGTCTGGTCCCTGGGTTGTATCACCAGTGTTCTATTTACATACTTGGCGGAGGGCAGAACTGGAGTGTCCACGTATCAAGACAGGAGGACAGAACATCACAACGCAAATAGCTATGATCGCTTTTTTGTCGCAAACACAGCCTTCGGACGTCCAAAGGTTCACCCAGAGATCAAACTATGGCATGATCTTTTAATCAAGAAAGCGAGCCAGCAAAGCCCAGAAGAGGGACAAGCCTTGAGGTCAATATTGAATTATCTCGAGCGAAATATTCTTCTTCTGGATCAGCAAAACCGATGTCCTGCGGAAGATTTAGAAAAACAACTGAACAAAACCCATCGAGCATACAGCGAGTTGGATAACACACCGAGGGAACGTCCAAGCGCTGAACAACACGACTTTCGCACACTGCTACAGAACATACGCATAAGTGGGCCAATGGGCAATAAGAAAAAGGCTGCTTCCAAGCGGGCTGACGTTTGGTTCTTCAACCCTAAGGAAGCGTTCAAAGACTGCGAAATCTCTCCGGATGGGTCTATTATCGCATTTTGGACTGACTTCAAGATTTCGCTCTACACCCAGTCCTTTAGACGCACAGAGGATGAGGAACTACACCCGGTTGCAGAGTTTTCATTAAATACGACTGGCGAACCTCGGCGTTTTTGGAAAAGCATTAGCTTGACAAGTAGTTATTTGATAGCTTCCTTGTCAGGAAATAATTTCCAGGTAAGAACTCAGCTCCATCCCATGTTGGGCATCCAACTATTTACTAAATTTGCTGGTCACAAGTGCTTTGTTTTTGATCTCCGGCGTGATCGACGAACGAATAAAAAGCCGACTATCAATTTCAACCATTATCGCTCCGTTTCTATTCCGCTACCTGAAATAAAAGAGGTGGCTATTTCGCCTGGAGGTAAGACGATGGCATGCATTGTGCGTGACAAAGATAAAGACGACAACCCAGGCTCATTATACATTGGCACTGTCAAATCCCCAAACGAGTGGAAACTAGGAAGGAAACTGAAGTGGCCAGCGTCGGACGTTATTCAACTTTCATTCTCAGGGGAGAATGATATCTACATTGTCTTCCGGCCACAACGCACCATCCAGACCCATAAACATGAGATTCCCATCCTCCATGCATGCCTCGCAACGAAGCATATGTATCCTCTAGTTATTGAGCCGCGAGTAAGTCTCGCTTCTGCTGTCCAATGAGCAGCCCTTTCTTCTGTGCTAACCGAGGTATCAGGGCATTGAAAGTAGCAGTACTGTTGGCCTTTTTACTACACTTGCCCCGTTCTCTCAACGTCCTGAAATCTGCGCGATTGTCACTCGGGAGAAACAGCTGCATATCCAGAGCCTCACGGAGCTGGACAAAGCTACCCCTACCATCCAGACGAGCATCAAAAATTATCGAGTGATCAAGTTGATTACGGGACAGAACGATGAGGTCATGTTTGCAGTGGGGAGGCAAGTGGGAGTTCATAAGATGCTTTTGCTCGAGGTCACTATGCCACAGGAAGAGGCTACCGATATTTCTGTGAAGGAAATTGCCGCGCTCCCGAACCTTTCCCATCACTGCGAGTTCACTGCGAGGATTGTCTCTGATCACGACGGGAGCCACCTCCTTCTTGCCGCTCTTCTTGATGCCAATGAATGTGGTATATACAAAGTCCGTCTGAGTGGGCCCAGCTCAGGCTGAAGGGTGAGCCAAATGTCAGGTACAGACCCAGCAACATTTTAGGCCTCACCCTCATGAAACTCTTTGACTTCCTTTGTTCCAATTTTAAGCTGTCTCTTGAGATCTTGCACTTTCCAAGCTGGGACCATGCGTATCTTTGGTAGACGGAACGTCGCTCCGTCGCGGCGCATTAGCCAGAAGTAAAGGAGATATGTCACTGCTGTAAGACCGAATGAGGACAGAAAGAAAATCCATATCATAGATGTGCCAACTATACGGCTATTCTCTGTATCCAGGTCGAAGAAATTCATTCCAAAAAATGTCTATTTGGATGGCTGTTAGTAAACTGTGATGTTGCAGTGGAATGGAATCGAATTGGAATCGAATTGGAATTCTGGGGGAGAAACTCACTGCAATGAATGACGTTGGGAGGTAAAACAAAGTCAGCCTGGTAATAAACACGGCTGATTTGTTCAATTCGAGAATATTTTTGTTTTGCTCCTGTGCCAAAAGCTGATCCCGCATCAATAAGGTGTCAGATAGCAGCTTGGCGACACTCTGTGCTCGTTGCTGCAGATACGTTGCAGATTGAGAATAGATCTTGCAGTATCGAGTCTGGTTTTTGAGACAGTTAATGCCGTATTTCGTTTCTTCAGTCTCTGACTTCGAGCTAATAAGTGCACATAAGTCTTGGAGAAGGTCCATCGTCGACGCAAGGATAGCTGGGACTTGACGGAAACGAGTTTCTAGGCTGTTCAACGTAGTCAGGGTGTCATGTCCCAGTCCCAACGGCTCTTCGATAAAAGTTGCTAGTGCGTCCTTTGCAACAGGCAAGAATCGGTTCTCAATCGTCGTAATGTACTTTCTCCATGCGGGGAAATATGCCGTGAACAACAGCCGGTGTAGCCAGAAGGGATCGGCTTCTATCTTCGAGTGATAGCTAGACATAGACAGCCATTTTGCTGCTTCGAGATGTGCTTTTGATTGAGGAGTTGGGCTGAGCATTATAAATATACTCTGCGAAGTCGTTCTGTCGTATCGGTGATAGACTCCAGTCTGTCGAATCACCCATCTGTCGTCTTTTTCCTTGTACTCCGGGTATTTGATTGTGTATGATACTTCTATCATATTTTAAGCCAAACAATTCGAATTTCCATGTTGGGGTTTCGGGTGAGTACCTGTGATAGAACCTAGAGAGATCTCGGTACATGGAGTACAAAACACCGCGTCAATATCTGCACTGCGATGATTGCGAGAATAGAAGCACGAAGCCACTTCCCAGAATAGTGGACCAATGTCATGGTTCAAAACAATGAGATCGAGCATGGGTTTTGTAGCTTCTAATGGCCCCCGGGAATTTCGTTGACAGATCGATCTATCAAATGTCAGTGATGGTCAACACGATTCTGGGCCAACAAACATCAAGCGAAATTTGTGAGAATTACTCTCGTCACTCTGGAAGTATGTTTCAAGGTCCTCTGTTGTGAAAAACTTCGAACTTCGACCGCAGTGTGCTGTTGACAATGCCCCATCGAGTCCGATTTCGAAAACTTCTACGGGATGAACCGGTTTCCTAACGCTGTAGTAATCAAAAGATGGCATCGTGATAATATAGTTAGATTCTTCTCAATTAGATCAACTGCAAGCAGTCTCTCGATTATTATAGCATTCAAAGCTAGGCGCACAGCGCATTGTCCCCTTCCCCCTGCATTCGAACTGCGCCTCAAATTCATGCATGTACATATACTGCCCTTCGTATTCCTTTCACCACAGCCCCCAGTCTAATTGTCTTCATATGCTCTAGTCACAAATTGTCAGTATTGCTCATGAGTGTCCAACCAGAATATCTCTTACTCGAACTCAACCTATAAACTTGCCATCAGCTACGGACCTCGACGTTTCTCTGGAGGTTCATTCTCACCGTCTCCACCACTCTTGGGGCAATAAATGACCATATTTCATCTTGCAACTGCCCTAGTATTCAGCCTTGTGCCCGATAAAATGGGGTTCCAAGCGAAATACCCGAATCTTGAAATCGGTTTGCCCCGGAAACAGTTGCTCGAGGCAAGCCTGGAGACTTTCTCTGTTCAAGTAACGGCGATCAACTGTTTGACGACGTTCGTTGTCCGCGAGAGGCCTGTCTGGCATTTTTTTTTAGGATGATCGGTTTTCTCCAGTATTTCTCGTGGAGGTAAGATATGCGGGCCTCATAAGTCGCCAGGATCTGCGGCTGAAACGTGGTTTATCTCACTCTGCCACGTCACGAAGCCGATCTTTACCCAGGTTCCTTTTGCACGAGGGCCCTGCATGATTTATGGCGAATCTCTGTCTCTCTCTTATCTCTGAGTCGAGACTATACCCATTTAATCAGTGACTATTCCAAATACGGAGATTCTTTTCCGCTGTCGTGTGACTCGACAGGGTTGTTGCGTGTCCGAGTCGCCCGGGTGAAGATGAGGGGGTCTCGATACGAGGCTTTGAGGCATAGCATTCGGCTTTCACCTGGTCGCCGAGTTAGCTACTTATGCATGAAATGCGGCTCATAATGCCAGGTTCATTGGCTGTCTACCATGTGCGATCCCGAACCGTAAAGTTATTAGGTTGTGATAGATAAGGAAATTTCAACCTCAATTCTCGACATGTCAGAGGCAGTCGAACCATCGGAATGGCAACCAGACTGGCTTTCTGAGTTGGTGAACAGATCAACAAGATCGGCCATATTATCGACACCCTTTACAAGTGACCAGACAGAAGGACACCTCCCAGCACCATCTGAACAGCAAAATGATCCAATCAGTTCAGGGAACTCTGCCAATGCGAGTCAACCGCCTCTCGCAGACTCCGAGTCTACTCATATCTTTGACTATCGCGAAGAAACGCGTCTTCCTGTGACTCCCAGTGGAGAAAGAAGTGTCCGGAGGACATTGAAAGGGATACATTTATTTGTGCGTATAGAAATTCTCTATCATAATGCGCCACGCTCATCAAACCAGATGATCACAGTCAATGCAACGCTCGGAACAGGACTTTACTGGCGTGGCGGTCAAATACTTGAACTAGGTGGCCCCTTGGCAGTGCTTGTATCTTTTCTCGTCGTTGGGTTGCTATCATGGGCCGTCATGCAATGCATTACTGAAATGTTGTGCATTTGGCCAATACCTGGCGCACTATCGGTATATGTGAGCCAGTTCGTTGACGAAGAACTTGGTATTACTGTCGGTATCACTTACTGGTTCGTGTGTCCCCAAGATAACTAAGTTTGATTCTTTAACGAAGTGATACCCGACAGTCAAGTTACTGAGGCGCTGATAAATCTCATAGGTTCACATACTCAATGTCGTTCTCTACGTTAGTGGCAACCTCGGCCGCGGAATTCAATTTCTGGCGCGGTATTAATGACAGTCGAACTATCCAAGGCGTGGTCATATACTTCTTGATCCCACTCATATTGGTTCTCCTTAATACAATGCGTATTCAGGTAGGCTTAATCGTCACTGTTCCCTGCTCCCGGCTTTTTTTGGATGTTTGAAGTGAGTACTGACAAGTGTTAAGATATATGGATGGCTAGAGGTAGCTACAGGAAGTTTGAAGATATTCTTTCTTATTTTCATTATCATTGCCCTCATCGCGATCAACCTCGGGGGTAAGTAGAAACACCCTCTTATCATAGTTTACGAATGACTTTGATCGCTCAAAGTTGTGTACTAAATACGAATAGCGGGTTCGAAAGAGAGCCTCCACTATGGCGCTGAGAGTAAGTCACTCGAAATGGTATATGAATGCAGCTAAAAGTGATAGATTGGGGCTCACCTACCGACTTCGATAGAGATGCAGCCGATAACTGGGTCATTTCCCTGCTGTGGGTGATTTCGAATAGCTTTGACTTACAACATGACTAATTACCCTAGCATGAGTATATCAATTGCAACGTTCGCATATGTAGGAGTTGAAGTCGTTTCCTCATCTGTGCTTGAAGCAAAGTCACCAAATCTTTCCAAGGGCGGAGGTAACCCGTTCAAGTTCTCTGCTATCTACATTCCAGTATTCGCGACAGTTGCATATTGCCTCAGTGGGGTTCTCGGGACATTGGATATTGCGTGGAACCATCCTCATCTTCCTCGACTTAGCTGGCTTCCACCGGATCTAAACAAAGATGACAAATCTCCAAGTCGTGCTGCCTTTGTTGTGATTGCTTTGGCTTCCAACATTCCGGGGCTAGATGACACTTTCAACGCTTTTCTGGTGTTTACCTGTCTTTCCTGCGCAGCCACTAATCTATACGTCGCCTCACGAACGTTGTTTGGTTTAACCAGTCGGTTGGAAGGTGGTGAAGGCCGGCGGTGGTACTTACGTGTCCTTGCTTCGTTTGGGAAAACGGATGGTCGTCAGGTTCCTTTACGGGCTATGATATTCTCTGCAGTTGCGTTCTGGTGGGTACCTTTTCTCCAACTCATTCGCGGAACTAAAAGCCCTCGGTCCTCTGTCAATACGGTATTTCTATCACAGCCCTGTCTAATCACAGCCCAACGTTAACCTGGGACCAGTTTGTTGAAGTGCTAAGTGAAATGGCATCTGTAAGTGTTTTGCACGTTTGGGCTTGCGAATGTCTAGCATTTATTCGCTTCTATCGGTGGTAAGTCTGACCATCATCACGGGCGATCAATATATTGACATAAATTTCATTTAGCATCTATCAACATCGGGAATATCTTGAGCGTGAAAACATCGCTCTGGTTCAGCGCTGGAGTGTAAAAAATTATTCCGACTACCCGTACCGCAGTTATGGACAGCCACTGCTTGCATATCTAGCACTGTCTGGATGTATATTTGTTTTGTTGGTGGCTAATGGAGCTGCATTGTGGAACGGCTTCCACCTTTTACCTTTCCTCGCCTCATACCTAACTGTAAGTGATATATGGCTATCTTTAGTTGGAGGTGTGCTAATTGTCAAACACTTGCAGGTTATTGTCTTCATTGGCATTTGGATTCTGTTGAAGATTTTTCGGTCGGCGCCGTGGTCTTTCGTCGATCTTTCACAACCTAAAAGAGTTGCCGAGATATTCAGACATCTGCATGATATCCGTTTGGGTGGAACGGATTCTACTGAGGATATTTCGGAAGGTTGAATGACTATTTGCTGTTATTGTAGCACATGCATCATCTAACGTTAGTTTGTCTTCTACGACAAATAAAATATATATTCCCGGTTTTTCGTTTGGGACTAGGGGTCCGTCTCAGCAATGCGCTATTCCCTGTCAATTCTCACTTAACCAAGCCTAATCACCAGATCTTGACCATAATATGATAACCTGACCCCTTCCGGATTCCAAGAAGTCTTACGGTTGGTTTTATATTCAAGGCCTGAGAATCAAGGCCACAACACAGACAAAAAGTCGAACCGGCGAAACTTCAGCGTAAGAAAAACCAATTTAATCACATATAATTGCGCTTGATTAGAGAGACTATTCAAGGAGAGTTGTGTTGAGAGGCCAAAAAAAAAAATGAAAAAGCTGTAAATCAAGTGCAGGATGGGGAGGGGTAAAAAAAGAAAACAAAAAAATTCCGGTGGGCCGGAGTCGAACCGGCGACATTCAGATTACAATGGTCAATTACAGTCTGACGCCATAAACCAACTAGACGACCGCCGGATGGTTGTTGAAAATCGATCATTCTTTGGCTACATGACGCACCACTGGGTTGGGTTGTTTTGCTTCTCTCGGACGCGCATCTTGTCGTGCATGCATCTCATGTTCTTCCAGTGCATCTGGCGATCTGCCTGGAATAAATGATACCAACCCATTACATTCAAACCCTTGATTCTCGGCTAGGATCCTTCATTCTTGGGAGATTCTACCCAATTCATCCGGCATGTTGCTGTTACACAACTCGACTAAGCCTTTCCAATACCCGTGGACATAGCATTGCCACACCCAAACCCGTTGTTATACTTGGCACGGGTAGTTTTCCCATTCTATTTTCTACCTCTTCCCAGATAACATGTTTTCCGGTTTCCTGAGGATATTATTAATGACACAAGCCACGGAAGTGGAGGTTCTGCATGAAGATGCGGAGAAAGGCGCGTCGATTTACCCGTCAATCACAACCCACATTCCGCTCCATGGCGTTGACCACTACCCCTCAAAAGGCGGCCAAGAAATATGTGCCCCTTGAAGACGGCACGATCTCCCAAATCAGAACGAAGAGGCGTTATGGCTTTACTTGCAGCGTGAGCCTCGGCGCTCTCTTGTCAACATGCAGGTGCAACGTCGTCGCATGGCTCCATGCAGGGGACATGCCATTAGTTCTGCCGATGTTTCCCCACGCATTGTCTGTCTAGTCCGCCTGCAGGGGTGAACTGCTAGTCCATGCACTCCTCATGGAGATTTACCTAAAGGGGACTGGAGGCTCGGTACTTCTCCTGCCGTCGGCTAGTATTGTCCTCTAGAATCAGTCGATCATCATAAGCTTAACCCCTCAGATCTCATTTCGGAGAGATCGGGACAGATGAGGAGAAACACATTTAGCCGGCGATGCACTCCTTGCTGGGCGTTTCATTTGCCTGTATATAAATCTCCCAGGAACTCGGCTTGCGGCAATCCTTTTGCATTCAGTATAGAATTGGAGATTGAGAGAGCTAGTTGACTATATAAACGGCATTATGCTGGGTCAATACCTTCTTCTGCCGCTTCTGGCATCGTATGGTGCAGCAGTCACCATTTCAGTAGCGAAGTCTGGTGGCAATGCTACAAGCGGCCTGCAATATGGTGCTATGGAAGAGGTATATACATGAGCACCCATTCAATGCGCTACAACTGAATCTAATCACTGTTTCAGGAAATCAATCACTGTGGAGAAGGAGGTCTTTACGCTGAATTAATTCGCAACCGAGCTTTCCAAGGGAGTACCAAGTTTCCTTCTTCACTTGATGCCTGGACTGCTGTTGGGGGGTCTTCGCTGTCTCTGAAGAACCTTACCGATCCATTGTCCACTGCCTTGCCAACGTCGGTCAATGTCAAGGGCACTGGCACAGCTGGTTTGACCAACGCGGGCTTTTGGGGGATTGACGTTCGCCCTCAGAAGTATACCGGATCATTCTACGTGAAGGGCTCGTATAAGGGCTCTTTCACTGCTGCCCTTCAATCCGCCAGTGGCAAGGTTCTAGCCAGCACCAAGGTGACCTCGAAGAGTGTTGCAAACGAATGGGTGCAGCATTCCTTCACTCTGACTCCATCGAAGAAGGCTTCAAGCTCCAACAACACTTTCTCGCTGACATTTGATGGTTCGGTGAGATTCAGGCTTATATTTGCGTGTACAAGTGCCCCCGCTAATACTTCACAGAAAGCATCAGGCGGCTCCCTTGATTTCAATCTGATCAGTTTGTTCCCGCCCACATGGAACGACCGTCCCAATGGCATGCGGAAAGAGTTGATGCAAGCCATGGCTGATCTAGGTCCCGTAAGTGAACGAAGTTTACAAAATATAGCACTTTGGAATAGCCACACACGGTATACTGATGCATTTAACAGAAATTCCTTCGTTTCCCTGGAGGTAACAACCTGGAGGGTGACACCATCGAAGGCCGCTGGAAGTGGAACGAAACTATTGGACCCCTCAAGGACAGACCTGGCCGTGCAACCACCTGGCAATATGGTGAAACCGGCGGAATGGGCCTGGTTGAGTATATGGAATGGTGTGATGATCTTGGAATGGAGCCCAGTGAGTCAATACATCCACCATGATCTGATTTACGTATCTGATGAGGGTACTATAGTCCTTGCGGTTTGGGCTGGACTTGCCCTGAACGGTGATCTCGTCCCCGAGGCCGACCTCGATTTCTACGTGCAAGATGCACTTAACGAGATCGAGTTCTTGACTGGCTCTGTGGATACTAAGTATGGTGCTCTGCGCGCTAAGATTGGACATCCTGATCCTTGGACGATCCGGTACGTCGAGATTGGTAACGAGGATAACCTCAACAGAGGCTTGAGCTCGTACAAGTCATACCGGTTCCCGGCTTTCTATAAGGCTATTACCGAGAAGTATCCTGAGATTCAGGTTCTTGCTTCTACTATTGACATGACTATTCCTGGAACTGCGGGTGGTGATTACCACTTGTATGATATCCCCGATAACTTTATTACCAAGTTCGATATGTTTGATAGTTACAGTCCTGAGCACCCTATCCTTCTTGGTGAGTTACTCCGTGCATTTATAGGGATGTAAACTAACGATTATACAGGTGAGATTGCTGCCACCGAGACTAACAACGGCGTCGGCATCGACTGGAGTAATACCTACTTCTCTCTGTATCCCTGGTGGATTGGCTCGGTTGCCGAAGCAGTCTTCCTCCTGGGTGCTGAGCGCAACGCAGACAAGATCATTGGAACCACATACGTGAGTAGCCCAAACCAAGTCCCGTATAGTCGATCTAACCTCAAAACAGGCACCCTTCTTGATGAACTTGGATAGCTACCAGTGGTCCCCAACAATCCTCTCGTTCAACTCCAACCCCGACGAGACAGCCCGTTCAACCAGTTTCCATGTGTATAGCGTATGTTACTCCAACCAACACTTACATCCAAGGCGAACTCTCATATACTAACCCGAATGTTGGATATAGCTATTCAACCACAACCACATGACAAACACCCTGCCAGCAACATCTCCCGATGCCTTCGGTCCTCTATACTACGCAACCGGTCTAGATAACAAGACAAACTCCCACATCTTCAAGGCAGCCGTGTACAACAGCACCGCCGACGTTCCCGTATCCCTGACTTTCGACGGTATCGGCCGGGGTACTAACGCGGACCTGACCATCTTGACTGCGCCCGACGCCTTTTCCATGAACGAGGTTGGTGGCTCAAACATTGTTAAGAGCAAGACCACTACCATTAAGGCTGGCAAGAAGGGCGAGTTTAGTTTCAGCTTGCCTAACTTGAGTGTTGCGGTGCTTAGTACTAAGTAGTGAGTGCTTGGTTTTGAACATATTGTGTAGCCATTTTGGACTGCATATGGTGGTATAAAGCTATTTATATGGATAGCTCGTTATTGAATACATTGATTTTTAATTCCCACTTTGACATTTTACTTGCGGTTCAGCTTTGGGCATTTCAGCCCGCGGAAGTGTTGAGGGACCCAATGAGGGAGTTAGATCAGCGATAGGTCGCTTTAAAGAAAGGATGATAATCTATTGTTGACGCTCTCGAGACGGACTTGTCTTGCTATGCCTGTTTCCGCGGTCAGATTGCTGAAAGACCGCAGAGGTTTCACCAGACCGGTCCGTACCTTCAACCCAAGCACAGCAGTCGATACACGACACTGTAACCGGCCATTTCCCATCTGTACAGATACAACCTGAGGCTCAATAACCTGGACTTCAAACTCGGCATCAACCTGGGGTCTACCTGGCGTTCCGAGATGGGTTCTTGCTACTCAGCCTGCACATCCTGGAGGATCACTCCGAACGGTAGAATACGAGATATCGATATCCTCGGTGCCAAGCTGATGAGCAATATCAACACAAGTATTCTCGCTCACTGGATTAGGGCCAAGTTTGGCAAGGACGTTCTCTCTTAGCTCATCGGTCTGTTTGACGGTCAGCCAGAGCAAGATCCATCGATGAAATAGGAATCATGGAGTTCGAGCGGCCGGGCATTCGGATTGAAGCCTCGGCTTATTGCTCGACTATGGGTCGAATTGACTGTGCGTGCTGGTGTACCAGTGACCGCAGAGATTTCATTTGACAATGTGCTTGTGGCTTTGAGAGCTACTAGTGCTGCCCGATGGAAACCTCAGAACTTGGCATGTTGGTGGAAAACGGGTAACTTAAAGTGGTAAAACGGAAGAACTGGCAAAATATCGATGAATCTATTATTTCTCAATTTCTCAATTTCTCAACTTCTATTTAAACTATTCTCGGATATTTTAATCTTCAAGTGTTCTTGAAGTCTTCTTCGCTTCCACAAATCTAAGTCCAACATCGGGGTCATCTCACCATGTACACCACCACGTCTTTGCGGGCGTTCTTTGGGCGCGACAAAATAATCGCCTCACTTTGAACCTGCCCGTTCAAGTCCCTTTCCTCGGGTAAATAGCGCTGCGATAGTCGCGACAAGGCCGAATGCTGCCGACGCCGCGAATGACAGTCGAATGCCGCGGTAATAGACCAGTCGGGCGGCCATCTGCACATCTGGGGGAAGGTCATAGATGGCCGATACGGAGTGGCGGATCTCATCAATTACCTAAATAAGAGCGAATATAACGATCAGCAAGGCCTGTTCAGGGGACCATTAGAACACATCGCGGAGGAGATGTTACTTTCCATTTGTCTGGTATTCCACTCAAGGCCTCCCCGAGGCCTGAGTTCAGTGTATTCTGCATAATTGTGGAGGTCGCTGCGACGCCCCAAACGGTTCCGAGAGAGCGGATGAGGTAGACGGTTGATGCGGAGACAGCATGATCTATACAGGAATGGACTTAGCAGCGGTCGCTTGGAATGTGGGTAAGCCGCAGATGGCGGAAGACCCAATTGACAGATGGTTGCGACAGAATGATTGACTTACCGGTGTGGTCAAACGCTGCAAGGAATGTGAACAGGATTCCCGGATATACTATACCCTGTCCCAGATTGGCGGGGATGACATATGCAAAGTACTTCCAGCTTGCGTCGTTGAAGCGTAGGAGCATTACTAGGAGGTTACCGATGAACATCAAGGCTGCGCCGGTGCGTACGAGGTATGCGAGCTTGCCCCAGCGAGACATGACGATCCCTGAGATGAGACCACCCAATGGCGTAGCAAGACAAGGAATGACGAGTCGGGCACCAGCTTTACTGGGCGAGTCCAGGAGAATCACTTGGAACATAAGCGGGAGAGTAAAGAGGTACTGTATACTTGGTCAGCCGCAAGGCTCGAGGTGGAGAAAATAGGTGTACGCACAGCATATGCTGCCATTCCCACACAAACGTTCGCAATCTGTGTGGAAACAGGAAGGGTTCCTCGAAGCATCTTCAATGGGATCAAAGGCACGGCAGAGGTTGTGGCTTCAACAATAATGAATGCGACCAGCAATATCAAACTTGCAACCAATGGGAGAATCACCCAGACATCGCTCCAGGGTAGAATGTTTCCGCCCAGACTCAGTCCAACCAGTTGGGCCGAGAGAGCCAGAATGAGTAGACAGGCTCCCAAAAAATCGATTTGGTGCCAGATGCCTTGCATTCGTTGATCCGGGGAAGTATCAGTAGGACGTGCTGGGAACTTCAAGACTTTATAGCCCATGACCAAGGCGAACAAGGATACTGGGACCTGAAGGAGGAAACACCAACGCCATCCAATCGAGTCCACGATCGAACCACCGAAAGAAGCACCACAGATGGCTCCAAAGCCATAAGAGACATTCTGGATTGCTTGGTACATGCCGCGTTGACGGAAGGGAATGAGATCGGAATTGATGATTGTTGCTAAATTACCTCATCAGTGATCGGAAATTTCCTCGACAGTGAGCAACTTACCCATGGTCATCAACCCTCCACCTCCAATGCCCGTCAAGGCGCGCATAATGTTCAGAAATATCACATCCCGAGCTATAGCACACCCGAGACAACCAGCCATGAAGGTGATTGTCGCAGTGAAAAAGCACGATCGGCGACCGAGTAGATCGGAGAAGCGACCGTACAAAGGCTGGAATGCAGTGCTCGTGATCAGGTAAGAAGTCGTTAGCCACGATGCGGTGTTCGCAGCGTTGAATTCGGAGCTGATCACGGCGTAGGTCGAGGCAGTGATAGTGCCATCAAAGCCTCCGAGAAAGACATTGGCCATGATTGCTAGTTTTGTTAACAGCTTGCTCATTCCATCTGAATTACATCAACTTACCGATTTGTATCAGGAAAAAGCCTGGCGGCGGGGTCCAAGTCGGAACAGGGTCCGATCGCAGCAATGGCTGCTCTTCGTGGATGGGTTCATCTTGAGTATAAGGAACTGACGCACCGTTCTGTACCATTGTGACTGTGAGGGTATATCAAACGTCAAGTTCAATTTTGCGACAGAATTAAAGTTGAAAAAAGATGAATTGCCAAGAAAAAGAAGCGGGCACTCGATTAGGCAGGTGGAACGTCTGCCGAGCACGACATCCGAGGTGATTCTCGCATCAACTGGGGATGAGGTTAGTTATTTAAGGCACTTCATCCTCTGGTCTCTCTCCTTCACTACATACTCCGTACAAGTCAAGGACTTCAGTGCAGAATACCCATCTAAGGTTAATGTACCCAATCATGAACACAATGACAGGCATAGAAACTGATCGAGCCAGTACTCATCATGAAATTCCTTGAACCCGTCGCCTGTACTGCAGCGCTGATGACAATCGTCGCTGCCGACTGGCAATTCAAGTCTCGAACAGACCTGGCACCACCTCGTCTGAACATCACCATCCCGGCCGCAAAGGATGTCGAGAAAGGCTACCTCTTCGTCGCACCTTTCCCGGGTCAGTGGGCCGAGCCTCAGTTTCACGGTCCTCGCCAAGAAGCTCCCTATATCTTCCGGGATGACGGGGAACTCGTATGGTCGGGCTATACCTACTTCTCCATCTGGGCGGCCAACTTCCAAAAGGCGAAGTGGAAGGGCCAGGATGTGTTGTTCAGCTTTGAAGGTGACCATAACCCGGCTTATGGTCATGGTCATGGCCACGCGACTATTCTGAACCAGCATTATGAGACCATTAGGGAACTGCGTGCTGGTAACCACAAGCTGATGGACAAGCATGAGTTCCATATCGTCGATGAGAAAACCGCGTTGCTTCAGGTTTATCAACCTGTTCCAACAGATCTGTCACGCTGGGGTGGTAGTCCCGAACAACAGTGGATTGTCAATGCCATTTTCCAGGGTATGTTGCCAGTCGAGCGTGTAGATCATCAATACTAACTTTCCGCAGAATTGGACATTGAGACTGGAGAATTGCTCTTCGAGTGGTCTAGTCTTGAGCATGTCACCCCTGATGGTAAGTTGGTCACTTGGAATAAGTTACCCACAGTAAACTAAACTAATATTACATAGAGGCTGTTCTTCCTCTTAACCCTGGACAAGCGGGTGCAGGCTACAACTCCTCCGACGCATGGGACTACTTCCATATCAACTCCGTGGACAAGGATGCCGAAGGCAACTACTTGATCTCTGCTCGCGATGCCTGTGCCGTGCACAAGGTCAACGGTACCACCGGCGAGATCATCTGGCGACTTGGTGGTCTGCGATCCGACTTTGGACTCGGTCCTAACGTCAACTTTTGCTTCCAGCATCACGCGCGGTTTGTGGAGCAGGGCGACAATGAAGAAATTATCTCCCTCTTCGACAACTCTGCTCACGGAACTGAAAACCACCGCGGCAAAGAAGTCCACACCCATCCTTTCTCGCAGGGTAAGGTCATCTCCGTCAACACTGCTACCTGGACCGCGGAGATTGTGCAGGCCTTCCAGCCTCCCGATGGACTTCTGGCCAAATCCCAGGGAAGCACCCAGCTTCTTCCCAACGGCAACGCACTGGTGAACTGGGGCTCTGAGGGCGCCATGACTGAATTCCGTGCCGATGGTACACCCATCTTCCACGCTTACATGGACTCCGGACTCTTGGGCGAGGGCGTCCAAAACTATCGAGCTTTCCGATACAACTGGACTGGCCTCCCAACCGAAGAGCCGGCTATTATTGCTGAAAAGACTTCATCAGGAACTGCAGTCTATGTCTCCTGGAACGGCGACACCGAGACTGCAGTCTGGCGATTCTATGCAATCACCGACCGATATGGGTCGCGGTCATTTTTGGGCGAGGCGAAGCGTGATGGCTTCGAGACTTCATTCCTGTTCAGCGGCCACTCGTACCAGACCTTGGCGGCTGAGGCTGTCTCTGCCCGTGGTCGCGTCCTGACTACCACTCAAGTTGCTCATATTCAGGATGCTGTCCTTCCTCCCCATGACAGCACCCTCGATGTGAATACAGAGGATCATGGTTCTTGGAGACAGTTGGTTTTGCAGGCTTAGTTGAGATATGATGTGGTAGGGTGGATGCAAAGAATGGAGTTCGTGGTAGCGCAGCAAGTAGTTTGGGAGAAGGTAGAATACACATTCTTCATTTTCCAGAATCATGTTTTAAGCTCTGGACTACTTCTCGAGTGACTTGTATGGAGGTCACAGATGAGCGGTACATCTCAAACTGCGTAACTCAGTTGTATCTGCTAACTTGACCGCTGACCAAACGAAGTATCGGTACTTTGTCTACTGTGACAAAGCTATATGTAAATAGTATGGTGAAGAACCTAGGAAGCATGTATCTTGGTCAGTACCTCAGTGGTACAAACGTTTGGGTATTAAAATGACAAGTTACCAGTACATAAAAATTGAATATTCACTAAGGAAATGACACTATTTTCTAAAATCAACCCAAGCAACGCCGAACTCCTCGCTATATGTTCTTTCCCATAATGTAACACGCACATAATAATTTAGTCCAACTAGAAACAATTGGTGTCAAATTAAACAGCTGCTGATATGCCAGCTGGATTAACTTTGAGCAATAAGCGGTTCAATGTCAAATCGGAGTTCCACTGCAGCCGACCTGACTGTCGATCCATGCGCCAAATCCATCCCTAGCCTCAAGGCAAAGCTTGTGAGTCCTGTATCTGTCACACGGTTCTTCTATGGATGCTATGTGCCCGCTAGGATTGATAGACGTGATCCACGTACCTCCCCCGGTTTCACGCAGCTAGTGAGGTTCCCACTACGAATTCTCATTATTATGGCGGAATGGGATACGCTCGCGCTTGAGGCAGAAGAGCTCGCAGAACGGCTTCGACAACTTCCCGGCTGGCATGAGGTCAGCCAGCGTATGGCCGGCTGTGCTCATGGGTGGGGTAAGAATCTGCAGCTGACATCCCCGGCGCACTTACTCGAAGCCAAGGAGCAGGCTTACCGGATGGCTGTGGAGATGTCGAATGAGAAATAGATGGTCAGACTTGAAAAGATTAGAAGATGAGGTGGGGAGCCATCTGTAATGTATAGCGATCTAATCAGTGTAATATGAGGATCTGCAATGCTAGATCCACTTCGATCCATGATGCTCTCCAACTTTCCCCGATTAAGCTATTTGGCCCCCGATGGACCCTGAAACCCTAGCGAGAAACATGCCCCTTTCGATCCTAGAAAGAACCTTTCGGCTCTCATATTCTTCAATCCAGTCAGAGTTTGATCATGGGCTTGCGCACTGTCTTCAAGTTAGGGATACTTGGCCTCGCAACCGCTGAATCCTCTGTCGTCTCTCTGTATCTGTGGGATGCCGATCCCCAGCCGTTGGCTGCGTCGGTCGTGGCAGCGGTATGTTTCTCACTCCCGATTGACACAGAAATGACACTCATATCACGACTTAGACCGCTTCAAAGACTACATATAGGATCAACTGTGCTTCAAGTGTTGAGACCAAGGAGTCTCGTGACATATCGCCATTTTTGACTGACATCTGACCTATGGCAAAGTGGTCCTGACGTTTGCTCCATGAAGGGTACCCTGACTGCTGTCTGCACCATAGCGGTGCCCACTGAAACAAGCTCTCGAACATTGACATCCACCTTGCATAAAACTGCTGTTACTGTCACCGCTGGTCCGTCCGTGACAATGACGCAAGCTTCAGCTACTGACACTGGTGCTGAAGGTAGTACCACGTTTCATACGTCAGATGTGCTGTCCGATGCATCGACCGCGCCTGTCAGCACTGGAGGTTTGCCTCAAATTACTGCGAGGGCTGGACTTGCCCTTGGCGCAGCTGTAGCTTTGGTGGCTGGGGGTTTGTAAGCAAAAGGGCTCTTTTCGATGACCGAGGGGCATGGACTGTGGTGAAGTAATGTGTGTATTTAAGGTTCATGTATTGCATGTCTTCATAGACTATTTCGGGGACGTCTATGTGCATGTCGACTCAATATATATAAGCCTGTACATAGACCAAAGAGAGGAACGTGCGCTTCATAAGATATACTTCACATAAAAATGACCATTCCGGATGTTGGTCCATCCGAATATCCTCCGAGACAAATTGGGACGTTGCTGGGCTGTGGGGTGCGAATACGATGCGAATACGCAACCAATGAACTTCGCCCGCGCAATAGGCTTCAAAACTGTATTGCTGCGTCGAGCTCTTTTCCTCAAAATTGTTGTCCAAATGTGAAGAACCAGAGATGCTGTTATTTGCAGATGTAGATGTCCATATGTACAGTAGATGAGGTGAAGTTGGTATGTGAGAGATATCAGACCGTACCTTCCTTAAAGATCCCGTGACAGTCGGAGAGTACTTCATCTTGACGCTCTCGGATGCTTGCGATCCCGGATCCCGTCCTCTTTTCTATTTCGTCTCTCTCTTCGCCTGATGTCGGTTTTACATCTCAAGCTCTCTTTTCGACATCTTCAGATCTCACGGGAGGCAAGATGCAAGATCGAATCGACTCGCACGACAACGACGCCATGGAGACTGCCGAGTCCAAAGATCCAGACAAGGATATCACCACACTCGCACAATCAATCTCGCACGTCTCGCGCCAGAACAGTCTTAATGTTGACACATCCGGGGAGGGTGTCAATACCTTCCTTTATCCAACCAGAGACCCTGAGCTTGATCCCAACAGTGACACGTTCATATCGCGCAAATGGGTCAGGAACATGCTGAAGATGGTATCTCATGATTTGGACCGTTACCCACGTCGCACAGTAGGGGTCTCGTTTCGCAACCTCAATGTTTTCGGCCATGGCACTGCAGCCGACTACCAGATGAACTTTGCCAACACCTGGCTCAAGGCCGCCGACTGGCTCCGAGGTGTTTTGGGGATGGAGAAAAAAGTACGCATCGATATTCTGCGGGAATTCGAAGGCATCGTGCATAGTGGAGAGATGCTGGTTGTTCTGGGTCGCCCGGGCAGGTATGTCAAAGCTCTTAACAGAAGACTTTATCGAAGCTCGTTACCTGAGCTTCTTCAAGAAAAAGGACATTCCTGACATGAACTAAAGTGGATGCTCTACCTTCCTCAAAACTCTCGCAGGAGAGACACATGGGCTCTATCTTGACAAGGACAAAAACACAGAAGTACAATATGACGGCATCTCGTGGGACGACATGCACGGCCGTTTCCGAGGCGAAGTGATCTACCAAGCTGAAACGGAGATCCACTTCCCACAGCTGACCGTCGGTAACACACTGCTGTTTGCTGCTCAGGCTCGAGCCCCAAGCAACCGTCTTCCCGGGGTTACACGCGATCAGTACGCAATGCACATGCGCGACGTTGTGATGGCGATGCTTGGTCTGACGCATACCATGAATACCCGAGTTGGTAATGAGTTTATTCGCGGGGTCTCTGGGGGCGAGAGAAAGCGGGTTAGTATTGCTGAGACTACTCTGTGTGGGTGTCCCTTGCAATGCTGGGACAATAGCACTCGAGGATTGGATAGCTCCACGGCACTCGAGTTTGTCAAGAACATTCGCCTTTCCACAGACTACAGCGAGACCACTGCGATCGTCGCCATTTATCAAGCCAGTCAATCTATCTACGATCTTTTCGACAAAGCAATTGTTCTCTATGAAGGCCGTCAAATTTATTTCGGCAATGCTCACGATGCCCGGCGCTTCTTTATCGAGATGGGCTTTGACTGCCCGGACAGACAGACTACGGCAGACTTCCTCACTTCCCTGACTAGCCCATCCGAGCGTCTTGTGAGACCAGGGTTTGAAGGCACTGTACCTCGCACACCTGATGAGTTTGCAGCTCGCTGGAAGGCTAGTGCTGAGCGGAAACAGCTGCTAGCTGAAATTGATGCAAGCCAAAACAACCACCAGGCTGAAGGAGGAAAGTTCAAAGAGTTTAGTGTATCTCGTGCTGCAGAGAAGCAGAAAGGTACCCGTGCAGCCTCGCCGTACACTTTGTCATATCTCATGCAGATTCGCCTTTGTCTTTGGCGGGGATTCCTACGCCTGCGGGGAGATCTCAGCATGACACTTGCCTCTGTGATTGGCAATATTGCTATGAGTCTGATCATTGCCAGTCTCTTCTACAATTTAGAGGCCGACACGGACAGCTTCTTTCGACGTGGCTCTCTGCTCTTCTTTGCAATTCTCATGAATGCATTCTCTAGCTCTCTTGAAATTCTGATTATGTGGCATCAACGGCCCATCGTGGAAAAGCATGACAAGTATGCTTTGTATCACCCTTCAGCAGAAGCTATCAGTTCTTACATCGTGGAAATGCCCTCAAAGGTCCTGCTTGCAATTGTGTTCAATTTGATCATCTACTTCATACCTCACCTTCGTCGAACCCCAGGTCATTTTTTCATCTTCTTCCTGTTTTCGTTTACCACGACCCTGGTCATGTCGAATCTCTTCCGGTTCATCGGTGCAATCTCGAGGTCTATGGCGCAAGCAATGGTTCCTTCATCGCTCTTTATGATGATGTTGGTCATTTACACTGGGTTTACCATCCCAGTCAGAGATATGCATCCTTGGTTCAGATGGTTGAACTATTTGAATCCCATTGCCTATGCTTTCGAATCCCTGATGATCAACGAGTTCAGCGGTCGACATTTTTCTTGCTCTCAGTATGTACCTGGTATTTTACCTCTATACAATGATGCACCGATGAGCTCCAAAATCTGTTCACAAAAGGGTGCAGTGGCAGGGCAGGATTACATTGATGGAGAGGCCTACATCAACACCACTTTTCGATACTTCAAGTCACATCTGTGGCGGAATTATGGTATCCTCTGTGCATTTTTTGTGTCTTTCTTAGTCATGTACATCATTGCCAGTGAGCTTATTCGCGCCAAACCATCCAAGGGTGAGGTCCTGGTGTTTCCACGCGGTAAAATCCCAGCCTTTGTTAGAAACCGAAAAGACGACCCGGAACGTGTCATTGCGTCAGAGAAAAGTGCTGTTACGGCTGCTGAAAATGAAGATCAAACTGCAGCCATCATTCGTCAGACCTCCATTTTCCACTGGGAAAATGTCTGCTATGACATCAAAATCAAAGGGACACCACGTCGCATCTTGGACTGTGTGGATGGCTGGGTAAAGCCAGGCACCCTAACAGCTCTTATGGGCGTCACTGGAGCGGGGAAGACGTCTTTGCTTGATGTGTTGGCAGACCGTGTTACTATGGGAGTGATAACTGGAGATATGCTTGTTGACGGCCGTCCTCGAGATGATTCGTTCCAGCGGAAGACGGGCTATGTCCAACAGCAAGACCTACATCTGGAGACAAGTACTGTCCGTGAAGCTTTGACTTTTAGCGCTCTTCTTCGCCAGCCCGCTAGTACCCCTCGCAGTGAAAAGATTGCCTATGTTGAGGAGGTCATTCACATGCTCGGCATGGGGGAATATGCAGAGGCCATTGTCGGAGTTCTCGGCGAGGGATTGAACGTTGAACAACGCAAGCGATTGACTATTGGCGTGGAGCTTGCAGCCAAGCCAGCACTCCTGCTCTTTTTTGACGAGCCAACCTCGGGTTTGGATAGTCAAACCGCATGGTCAATTTGTACCTTGATGCGAAACCTCGCCAATCATGGTCAAGCTGTTTTGTGTACCATCCATCAACCTTCGGCTATGCTCATGCAGCAATTTGACCGGCTGCTATTCCTGGCAAAGGGAGGACGCACTGTTTATTTCGGAGAACTCGGACTGCACATGAGGACATTGATCGAATATTTCGAAAACAAGGGGTCAACCAAATGTCCCCCGAACGCAAACCCGGCCGAGTGGATGCTAGAAGTGATTGGAGCTGCCCCAGGCTCTCACGCGGATAGAGACTGGGCCGATGAATGGAACAGCAGCAGCGAGTGTGAGCAGGTCCGTCGAGACCTAGCTGCAATGAAAGCAGAACTGTTGGAAAAGCCTGAGCCTCCACGAGTCGCGGGGTACGGACAGTTTGCGATGCCAATCTGGTATCAGTTTGTGGTTTGCATTCAACGAATGTTTCAGCAGTACTGGAGGTCTCCGGGATACCTTTACTCCAAAGCTGCGACAGCTATCATCCCTGTATGTCTTCCAGGGCCCCTGAGAATTATTAAACTGACTTACTCTATAGCCGCTTTTCATCGGATTCACCTTCTGGCATATGCCGACCAGTCTCCAAGGCTTGCAAAATCAGATGTTCGCCATCTTCATGCTCTTGATCATCTTCCCGAATCTGGTACAGCAAATGATGCCCAGCTTTGCTACCCAGCGCGCGTTGTATGAAGTACGAGAGCGGCCATCCAAGACATACTCGTGGCAGGCATTCATGATGGCCAGTATCTTCGTGGAACTGCCATGGAATATCCTGATGTCAGTGCCGGCATTCTTCAGTTGGTATTATCCGATCGGACTGTATCACAACGCAGAACCGACCAATGCAGTGACTGAGCGAAGCGGCGTGATGTTCCTCCTCATTCTAATTTTCCTCATGTTCACGTCGACGTTCAGTTCCATGATCATTGCTGGCATTGAGCAGCCCGAGACTGGTGGTAACGTTGCCCAGCTTTTGTTCTCGCTATGCTTGATCTTCAACGGGTAAGTGATCTGCAGGTTCGGTATTGCTAACAATCACTGACTGAAAATCCAGTGTGCTTGCGAGCCCGTCCGATATGCCCCGCTTCTGGATTTTCATGTATCGCATCTCCCCTTTCACGTATCTCGTGTCCACTGTACTCTCAACGGGGTTGACGGGGACAACCGTGGAATGTTCAAACATTGAGCTGCTCACCGTTTCACCCCCCGCAGGTCAAAACTGCTCCAGTTATCTGGACCCATACATCAATGCTCTCCGTGGTCGTCTAATGAATCCTGAAGCGTCAACAAATTGCAAGATCTGCTCCATCTCAAGCACGGACCAGTTCCTCGAGAGTCTGAGTATGTCGTACTCGGACCATTGGCGTAATATCGGGGTGCTGTTTGCTTATGTGGGGTTCAATATCGTGGCCGCAGTGTTCCTTTACTGGCTCTGCCGTGTGCCTAAGCACTGGTCGCGTAAGGTCAAGCAGGCCTGAAAACCCTGTCAATGGGGCCAATTCTCTGTTTATAGATATGCATTATCTTAACCAGTTGGGGCGGGGTGAAATTAATTCCATTCTTAACAAAGTATACGACAGTCCTTTGGCTTTAACATATATTAAACACAAGACCGTAATGCTTCGGCATAGCAAGAATTTACACTAGGGAACTAGGCGAATCTAGGTGCCGCGGGCTCTGTATTGTCTCGCCTAGCGTAACTCTCCTGTATTGTAGATGATATGGAGCGTTCGAGCAATTGAGGCGGGAACAGCTGTCGGCTATCGACAATTCTGCGAAGATAAGTCTATCCAATTTCATGACAAACTTTTCTGATTTATGACAGAATTATTCCCAGGAACTTGACAGGACTTTGGTGGAAGGTCTTGTTGCTTGTTGTCTCGCTGGATGGAAACAATATGCGATAACAACCGTGCCGGAGAGTATTTAAGTTAATGGATACAACCATGAGAAACTGACAACTGTGTTTGGACTCTAGGTCTAAATTTACAGCTGCCCAGATTACACAACACGGACTACCACGTAGAATCTCAATTTAAACATGCTCAAAGAAGTCGATTGGTAACTTCAATGAACCCCTCTAGGCACTTAAGAGCTTGGCCACTCTCAATCGCCCAGCGTGCCCGGCGCAAACCTTCCTTCCAGCGTCCACCACCCGGCCCACGTTCGGTGATGACCTTTTCACCGGAGCCGATGTTGCTGGTCTCAGCCTCGCACACGCCAGAGGTGACCAGGAGAGCAGCCACATTCATGAGAACAAATTCCAAAATTGGGTCGTCCCGCGGGAGCTCATTCCGTAGAATGCTCATCAGCTTCATAGCGTTATCCTTGGGCATTTTACCACCGTAGACATCAGTGAGAGGGTGAGTAGATAACCCAAAGTCTGAGGGGTGGAGCTGAAAGGTTTCAATCTTGACTAGTGTCTGCGGGCTCTCTTTCTCTTCACTCGAGTAGGTATCATCATGACCGGATGATGCCTTATACTCGGAGATTCTCCAGCAGTTTGTAGGGCCTGCACAGCTAATCTCATCCATGTCCTCCTCACCGCAGACTACTAGCGCCTTCCTAGCTCCGGATTGTTTAAGGGCTTCCACGAAGACCGGGCCTAGGCTTTGGTAGGCCACGCCAACCACTCGTGCTTCAATAGCCCATTCGACGGGATTTACCAGAGGACCCATAAGGTTGAAGATAGTTCGTATCCCAAGAGCCTTGCGCACGGAATTGGCGTACACCATACCCGGGTGGAAGTGGGGTGCGTATAGGAATGCATAACTTGTCTCCTTGTATACCTTAGCGAGGTTGCTTCCGTTGACAGCGTCAATATTCGGGGGTGTGGGCTGAATTGCTTTGAGAACGTCTGCGGATCCAGATAAAGAAGATTGGGAACGATTGCCATGCTTAGCAGTCATCAAAATCGGTGATGCAATAATTGAGGCGGTCGTCGATACGTTGAAAGTCGAGTGGGAGTCACCCCCGGTTCCGACAATGTCACACTGAATTCAATAGATCAGATTTAGGAACTGGAACCTGCTTTGAATTCTCATAATACTGACCAGTCCTCCTTCATAGTTGCCTTCGGGCCGCCCACCCGCTTTGATAACTTTCCATAGCGATGCTCTGTCAATCTGACAAGCAGCTTCACGCATGTGGTGAGAGCATTTCGCAATCACGTCTGCTTGCCTATCCTTTCCGGTGGAATGAAGCAAGGTCAAAAAGGCTGCAGTTTGAATATCCGATATTCGATTCTCAATTATCAGCGCAAATGCAGAAGCAATTTCCGCTGCGCTGATGTGGGCAATAGGGGAGTAGGCCAGCCGGTTGAGAAGAGGTGAGATGGAGATGGTCTCCTGCTTCTGGAGATTAGAAGAAGACATGTCGGTGAGCTTCGAGAACTTCGAGGCTCTCCCCCCAAATCAAAAAGGTCCAATGCGAGTAATAACAACGAGAATGCGTGAGTCAAGCCACCCTTGCACCGATGAGTGCCTACCAGCAGAATCCGGCACCGCCTTTAATGTCACTATACCTCATTGGACGCCAGAAAACAAATTGTAAAACAAAAATATAATAAAATAGAAACCATCACCCGAACAAATCCTCGCGGTGCCTTCTCGATCCTCTCGGTTGGTGCGTGCTTTCTTGCTACCAATGGTCATATTCCGATCGAGGGACGGCCCGCACCATCTCGGAGTTAAGCTCCACTTTTCCAGAGATCAAAATGCAAATTTTTGGGGTCCGCATTTCGAATACAGTATCTTGTCCCATATAACGGCTGTTTCTCTAGTAAATCCTAATTCGACTTCCGTAAGAATAGATATGCTTAAAGCCTTTCCGTCCGGTCCGTTCTCCCACTAGGTAATATTAAAAGGGGGCGATCCGGTAAACGACAAAAAGCGATCACCTAGGGCCCTTAGATACATGTATTAACCCGCGACGGCTTTCTAAGGGCGAGTTAAGCTCAACTGCATCTATAGTCTTCGTGACTTCTGCTGTAGCCGATGGCTTATTAGCCATAAAGTTGCGGAAAACTTAACGGGTAAGGTTGATATAGGTGACTAAGATGTAAATTCCAATGGAAGCTATTAAGCAGATACCCTTAAAAGAATATCTTTGTTTCAGATGAATCTAAGTCATGATGATAGCAACAAGGCCGAAGCGGGAATAGGCCTTGATAGATCCTTGATAGATATCTTATACGTCCACTAACGAATCCACCGTACAGCAACTAGTATTAAAAGTCTAAGGGCAACGGCTGCCTGATTATAGAGACTTAGCCTAGTTTCCTCGACTTAAGACACTGAAACTGGCCACGAATCCATAGCAACCGATGACATCCACGATGGCCATATATGAATCCAAAGCCCGGGTTTCTTAAAGCCAAAGTCCTCCCGTCCAGCAGTCATATCCCTTTTCCCAACTCCCCTAAGACTCTATGTGCCCTTCCTGATGTCCTGTCTGAAGCATAGCGCTTTAGCCTTCAGTGTGTCACTGCGTTCGCAATTAGGGTAGTATTCCCTAACACGGGGTTCATTATTGCGATAATTAGCGTCGGGCGGGTATTATAGTCACTAGCTATTTTATAGGTCACGTCGGTTCTAACGGTGTTACAAGTTATAATGTGGTTAGGTTTGGGAGGTGCTACCATACCTAGAGTCGCGAGATGTCAGGTGTTATAACCCGAAGATGTCAAGAGAGGAAAGGTAGACTAGCTTTTATGATAAAAGGTTCAAGACGACTTAAAGGTAACTGGAACGGCCTGCCTATAAGAACTAAAAATCACGTGTGTTCTATTGTCAAGTTCAAATTGAAAAATAAATGTACATTATGGCACTTTATACAGACAACCAGAGACGATATTCCTCGCCCCTCAAACATATCAAAAATCAGGGTCAGTGAGCAGCAAGTCCGTGACTTTCAACCAGATTCCAGTAGGATTTGGCGATGGATGTCCGAGCCGCCTTTCCGATCTTAATCCACAGCAAACAACCGCTCCAGAATACCATTCCCAGCACTGCTATGAGAATAAAGGTATTCTGCAGCCCCATGCTGGTAATCATGGGATTGACTGCGTATGCAAAAGCGAAACCTAGCAAAGTATTGTTAGCTCACTAAAAAGTTTTGTTGGATCTGAGAAGGCATTGCGACCCACCAATTGTGTTACGGATCAGAATAACAGTCACAATCGACTCTCCAGCCAGCTCCTTTTGACTGTCAATGATATAGGTGATGGCTAGGCCAGATCCCATCGGCAGAGTGATGCAGATGAAAGCCATTCCGATGACAACTCCAATCCATGGAATGTGGTGGCTTGCCCCAACGCCATAAAGAAGGCAACCCAGAGGATGAGCGAGGAGGGGAATCAAAAACATCCAGAGACGGTCTTCGGGTTCCTTGATACCATGTCTTCTTCTAGCCAGCCTAATCGCGAGGATATCACTCAGCCAGCCGCTGAAGTAGCATCCGACCGAGACTCCTATCACACTTGCGAAGTAGGTAAGACCAATCTCCTCTGTGGTAAAGTTGTAGGGGGCACCGCCCAGAACTTCCGCCAAGGAGCCTCCCAAAACATTGTACCAGGCGAGAATACTTCCCACTAGAAGGCCGGAAAAGATAGTTGTGGGGAAGCATAAAAGTCGGAAGGAGAGAATGATTGACCGAAAGAAGTTGAATGGCTGAGAAGGATGTCTTAATCCCCACAATTTCAGCTTCTGCGCGTATGTTTTAATTTGGTGACTCTCTTCAGCGACGACAGGAGTTACACCCGGACTATCTGGCTGTTTTGATTCGGACTCCATTTTGTCGCCGGTATAACGTGAAGACTCCAGAGTGCTACTGTCTTCGGGAGTGGAAAATATCGGTTCCTGAATATTCACTTGGCGGAAGAACATCGTGTCTTCAAAGCAGAAGAACGTTGCAACTGTGAAGCAGAGACAGATAATGGCCAGGATATATTGGATCCATCTCCAGCCAAACCTCTCAGCAACGAAACCACCGGCGATAGGTGACAGGAAAGCACCGCACCACAGAGTCCAGTTGTAAATACCCATATGGAAACCTCGATCATGGGCAAAGTGGATATCCGCAATACAGAGCTCGATCAAGGCTTCTTGAGGTGAAACAAGAATGCCAAGAAGAATTCGATTGGCGTACCATTCACCCACCGAAGTTACATACGCAGACCAGATCTGCATCAGCGATGACCCCAGCATGCCAACCAACAGGACCGGCCGACGACCAAAGTCCTGCGCAAGGTTTTGGGTCAACAAAGTGCCCCAGCCCATGAAGAGATACATGATGCCATTTCCTGTGCTGAGATCTGCCACGGAAATACCTGTGTCCTGCGAGATCAGGAGGTAGGAGGATGACAGACCGCTGATGAGGGCGGCGGCGAAGAAGCACCAAGCCATTTGACAGAAACTGCTGAGCAATTTGCGATAGCGGGACCAATTGAGAGGGTCATCAGGATGAGAGCTTGGGAGAGGAATCAGGACGATATCTTGTTGGTCTTTGTTATGTCTCAGGCGCAGGGTGTGGTCTACATCCACCTGCTGGACCGTTCCGGGGATGGGAAGAGGATCCTGCATGTTTGCTGATAGGCAGAGGTGATACAGCCTTTCGAGATACTCAGTATATACCTTGCCACCGTAGTTCGTTTCGATGGTACCACCAGAGTCCAACTTTATAGACCCTTAGTCAAAATGGTGATTTGAGCCCTATGTTAGAGGTATTAGTGATTTGACAGACCGGACCGGACATATATAATCGTTGTGCATACCACAAGATATTGACAAAACCCTCAAGCTCAAAGTCTTTTCGGTTAGGATACCAAACGCATACGCTTGAGTCTTAATAGAAAAACAAAGAAATCGACTCTTTTAATATGTGTGTCTTATCTGACTTCTCCAACTCCGTTATAAATTTAACGTCCAATTAATCACAGGGGCTTCTGAAAATAGCTTATCATACGCGGCCGGAGAAGGATAAAACCATCCAGCCGATGGCGGCGTTCGGGGTTGAAATCGAACAGGCTCGTGACCATATTGCCGCGAGCGAAAACTGCCAAGTGATACCCCGCGACGCATGGCCGATCTAACCCCCTTTCCTAACGTTATCAGCCTGAATATGGGTCTCGTTGGTCGAACCAAGAGTTGGTTATTGGTTCGGAGTCACTTTGATAGCCAGAGTTTAATTGATAAGATGCGGAGAAAGAGCAGTCCAGTCGGATTGCCCCTTTTTTCGGTTCGACTCCAAATAATCGCTTTCGGGATCTGCCCTGTGGCCAATCAACATTGTGGGCTATTTGGGGTCATTTTCAGTTGGGGTATTGGAGTCGTAAGCAACGTGGAATACTATTGTATTATGAAGCTCCAATGATTTAGACCAGTTGGCTTGTCGTCACTTGGTGAATAAAGGAGTTGGCAACAGAATGATGACGTCCAGAGAGACTGGTCTTAGCAGTAGAAATCCCAATATAATTATCGCAAATTCTTTCAATCCTGCAGGGACCAAATATGGTTCATTTCTCTATTTATCTACTTGTTAGGAAAGTAAGCCTTGTTAAATGTATCGACAGCGGCTCGTGTCTCCTTCACCAACTCCAGGCACCCAGGAACGTCGGAATGACAACATATGGAGATGGGATGGTCCTTGACAGGCAGTTCACAGGTAGACCCATCGATTGCAGTAGCAGTGCATGTTTCAATCTGCTGTGTCACGCGTCTTCGGACCTCGGCAAGATCCCAAGCCCTGCGACAGTGAAAACAGAGACAATATTAGACCCAGAAGTAAGAATAAGAAGACGAAGGAAATGACTTACTTCTTTTTGCGCTCGATGAGGAGAGAAGCATCAGCATTGTACTTGACATCCGCATAAAGCTCCGCGACGAACTCGAGTCCTAAATCTTTGGCGGCCTGTTCCATACAAGTACCTGGAAGCCCAAACACCTTGACATCCTTGGGGATGCCCTTGAAGACGGCCATCGAAGTCTCATAGTCTCTGCAGCACATACCATAGAGCATCCCGTGAGGCTTGACGTGATGAAGGGGAACTTCCTCCCGGTCTAAGAAACCCTTGAGCGCTCCAATTTGGTAAACAGTGATTGCAGTAAGTTCCTCTAAGGAAAGTTTCATTTCACGACGACCAAAGCCCTGGAGATCTGGTAGGCCGGGGTGTGCTCCAATTTTCACGCCGTGTTGCTTGCAGCTGCGAACGGTTTCCATCATGATGAGGGGGTCTCTAAAGAAAAATGGGTGAGCAAAACGCCATCATACTTTTGATGTAAATTCGCGTAACAGTTCCAGCGGCCGATTGGCCGTCGCGGTTCTGAGAGTTGGACGAGTAAAGAGAGGAAGACGTACGAAGCATGAAAACCACACGCAATATTGGCATGATCAATGAATGGAAGCAAGTCTTCATCTGAAGTTATTGTCCAATTGCCGAATCCCTCTCCTAGGTCAACGTTGATAAGGGCTTTGTGCTTGATAGGTCCCATAATGGCGCTTGGAAACTGTCGAAGGTTCGTTCGGAAAGTCCTTCAATTTGGTAATCGGCTTTGGGTCAAATCGTCTGAAAATGAAAAGACAATGAAAGCCTCAGAAACAATGTAAATCAAGTCGGTCAAAGTTAAAAGGTCATGCTCTTGCAGGTTATGTTATTTATTAGCTTGGCTCGTGGAGTCCGCCTTTTGGAGTCGGCTCGGAATCAAGCCGCTTTCCTGCATTATCCGGTGCCGACTCAATTAACCCAGCTTTTATTTGCCTTCAGTTTACGACCCTACAAAGATCTGCGTTGTGAGAGCAATGGACGTCACACGAGGTTCGCATGCAATCAAATACACTTTTCTTCTGGCCTTTGAAGATGCTAGAAAAGGGTGTGCAAAAGCAACCCGATCAAGGACAAGGTGGCCTCATTGTCTTACGGTGGAAATACAAAATTTACATGAAACCAGGATGAGTTTAAACGGGACTAATTTAGTGGGATTTATTATATACAAGCAGCCATTTCCCTTAGCTATGCCAAACCAATGCTCAATGGGTTGGTCCAGCGCTTCCAAAAAGACCATCAGCAGCATCGTTGGAGAAGGGGGGATCATTTCCACCCACGAGCCCCAGAGTGGGAAACCAAGGCATGTAATTGAGGTTTACCTGAGAAAATTGGTCGTCCCACCACATCGACCAGGCATCAAATTGCGGGTCATGTTTAGCATCTGAACTCGACTGGTTGAGATCCAAGAGATCGTTGTCTTCAAGATCAGCTCTAGGCTGTATACCTTGAGGGGCATAATGTATTGTCGGGCGATTTGTTTCATGAGAGACCTGGAAGGCGTCTGCGTGACCTTTTGATAGGGTTGCTGACGATGGGAGTCTCACGTTACTCGTTTTCGGCGTGCTTGGCTGGATTAGGCGCGACTGCAGTCGACTAGCGAGGTTTTCAAGAAGATCGCCCCAGCGCGTACTCAAGTGTGTATCATCGACTGCAGAGTCACGAAGGCCGACAGCGACTCGCCGAACTAGGTCAAGGGACATGGGTATGTCGATGTCGCTGATTCCGGCCGCGCAGCACTAATTCCACAATTTAGCACGATACATCAAATTAAAAGAACGGACAATGGAGAGAGACGAAGCCACTTACTTTGAGAAGAATCAAAGTTGCACCGAGAAGCCTTGAGTATGATCGAACGGGAATATAGGTTAAGCTCCCATAGGGAAGTAGATCGTCAAGCACCGTTCTTAGTACAGTCCGAGCGGCCCTAACAGTTTCTCTGAGATACTTCTCCTCTTCTGAACTGCTCTCCAGTCTGCTAGTTGTATTGTCACGGCAATTTCGATTAATTGCAGCTTGCAAAGCAAGACTGAAAACGCAGAGTTGGGCATACTCATACTCAATGGTCAAGATACATCGCGTCTGCTTTGCCACTAGACTTAAATGAGCATTGATTCACACATTTCCATGGTTGATACTTACACTTCGCATGATCGAACTCAAGAAGCGATTGATTCAGAAGTGGCTCAAGGCCTCGAACAATTTGAAGGTACTTTCCATTGCGAATGATTTCCCCTGTATATCTCGGCGACACAAAGAGAAGATCGTTTGCATTCTTCATAATAGTTGCGACGCGCATCCAGCATTCCGTTGCATCATCATTCTTAATGTCGGGGCTTTGTTTGGGAGTCCATTGTGCTGGATTTCTTCGTCCTACAGTAATTCAAATTTTTTATCAGCTTTAAATTTTCAAAAAGGTCGCGATGGGCCTGTCTGCAGAGGGTGTGTATACCTGGTCGACCCGGTTGTTGTGTCGCGTAAACCCATATCAAGCACCGTATACGGTGAAATCTCCCTTGGTCACGAGCGAGCTTCAGATGATCGTGGCCAATTTCATCTCCTTGCCAGAAGGATTTATCGTCGCAGAAAATCCCCATCTCGGTTGCCAGCATCAAAACAGTGGAGAGCATGGAGTGGCATAGGCGATCTGATCGAGCGAGCCAGTCATGTCCGGACCCGGGCCCGTAATACCCAGTGGCACAGTCATTCTTGCGCAGTCTCTTTGGCTCGGGAATCACTATCGACGACGTATCCTCATCCGGGGGCGGAAAGTGGAGGGCCCGAGGATGCCAATCCAGCAACAACAATAACGCTTCGCACGTTCCTAACGTGCGGAACCCATGCGACCAAGTGTCCGTATATGCCGGCCGCGGCCCTCTTAGCGAAGGAAATTCCCCTACGAACAGGTCTTCCGACCAAAACAATCGTGAAAGCATACCCTGTAGATATCTCCAAATTCGATCATGAACAATGTAGGAGCGCGCGACCGCAGCCGGTCCTGACCACTTTCGGTAACGCGACCCAATCATCAATATGGCGATGGTTAACACGGGCTCCTCCTCGATCAGCATCGCGTGCTGGGAGTGGCATCGATAGTATTCCGGCACAACAGGCGAGAAGGCAGACTGGAAGTTGTAAAAATGATCAACCATATCCAGCGCTTCCTCTGCTGTGAAAAGCCCACCACGGACAAAACGTAGGTTTGACCAGGCGCGGAGGGCCTCATCGGTGCCTTCGTTGGTGTTGGCGCTGGTATCGGTATGAATGCCAAGAGATGAGTTGGTAGGATGCGGTCTGACACCTTGGGGACGGTTGGTCAGGGGTAAGCCATCAGTCGTCCTCTTTTGAGCCTCACTGTGCTCACAAGCTTTTGATAGCAATGTCAACGCATCATGGTAGGTTCGGGGGTGACCCTCAAGCAAAGCAGTTGCAGCTCCTCCATTTTCCGGAAACTTCAGGCTCTCTTCTTCTTGTAGTCCAGGGGCTAGATTGCTGTTATACAAACGTGCCGCATCAGGAAAAGAAGTCGCAGGTTGAGATCTGATGGGCTCTGGCACAAGAGGTGATTGTGCTTTTCGCTTTGTAGAGGCAGTCTTTCTGATCCTCGATGCGGCAAAGAAACATTCTTTGCTCTCTCTGCGGCATCGCGCACAGGGTGGTTTATTGGGACAATCGGCCGATCCCAACTCGCAGCGCACCTTTTTCTCCCTGCACGGCTCACAAGCCTGGGTCTCATCGTCAGAGGATCGACAGAATACAAAACGCGGGGGGCTTGAGGAGTCCAGGCCCACATACCTGGTACACCCGTCGGTGTTCTTTCGCATGAGACGACATGAAAGGCAAAAAGATAAGGCAAAAACATATGCCAAAGGATCCGAGCCGGGGATATCCAAGCTCTTTATTTAAATCCCCGAAGTAAGCGGTGGTTTCCGGCCCAGTCGGATGCCGATTACCCCAACGCTCGGAGCTTCACGTTGGAGTCTGCTGATAAGCTTATCTGGCGATGAACCGCGGCCGGATGGAACTTGAAGATACTAATAAGTTATCTATTGGCAAGTCCCCGGATTTTGATACAACGCCGTCGCAATGGAGAAATTGAATACTTTGCTGATCGCCAATCGCGGTGAAATCGCCGTTCGCATCATCAAAACCGCCAAGTAAGAAAGAGGTCCATTATCAGAAGCAGCCAAACTAACACTTACTCTCCAATAGAGAGCTAGGTGTCCGTACGATTTCAATCTACACGGCCGCCGACGCAACCTCGCAACACGTTCGGGCGGCAGATGAAGCGGTCCTACTACCGGGCGACGATTCTACCGCATACATCAACGGGTTTGTTTCTCGATAGTGTCAAAAGGCTGGGTTTATGAAACCGAGACTAAGATAAATCAAATAGGAATGAAATCATAGAAATCGCGCGTGCCCATCAAGTGGATGCCATCATTCCGGGCTATGGATTTCTGTCGGAGAACGTGGAATTTGCCCAAGCTGTCGCCAATGCCGGGATGGTGTTTGTGGGCCCTAAGCCCGAAGCCATTGAAGCTTTCGGGCTGAAGCATCGAGCACGGGAGATCGCTGTGGCAGCCGGCGTTCCAATTGTCCCCGGGACACAGGGGCTGCTCGTTACAGAGGATGAGGCAGTGGACGCGGCGAATGAATTAGGATATCCGGTACTCCTCCCTGCCATTTTCTTTTCAGCTGTCAATGCCTACTAACTTCGACTTGCGATAGGTCATGCTAAAAGCCACTGGTGGCGGTGGTGGTATGGGCTTGATGATATGCAAATCAGTGGAAGAGGTCCGAGAGTCTTTGACGCAAGTTCGCTCCCGAGGAGAAACGTTGTTCAAAAATGCGGGCGTGTTCATGGAGCGTTACTATCCTGAGAGTCATCACATCGAGGTTCAGGTTTTTGGTAATGGCCTGGGAGATGCAATTCATATCGGAGAGCGAGAGTGCTCAATCCAACGCCGTCATCAAAAGGTCGTTGAAGAGTGCCCCAGCCCATTCGTGGAAACCCACCCAGGTCGGTTACCAATTTTATATCGGACTGCTTAAGCACCAGTGGCTGACGAGAATTAGGTCTTCGTGAAAGGCTCACCTCAGCGGCGGTTGCTTTAACCAAATCTATTCGCTATGGATCTGCAGGCACAGTCGAGTACCTAGTCGATGACACATCCGGAGATTTCTTTTTCTTGGAGATGAACACTCGACTTCAAGTCGAGCACGGTATCACCGAGCTCTGTTACGGGCTTGATATTGTAAAGCTCATGCTTCAACAAGCCGACCGGGAGTTGCGTGATCTCGGAGGACTGGACAAGGGCTATCTGGAATCTTTGCAACCAGACAAGCCTTCGGGCTGTGCAATTGAAACTCGTATATACGCAGAGAACCCGGCTAGAAACTATGCTCCCTCCCCTGGATTGCTTCAACATGTTGAATGGAGGGAGATGAGCGGCACTCGAATTGATACCTGGGTCGTTACTGGAACTCGAATTTCCACATATTACGGTCTGTCGCTCAACTAAAGATGTGATATGAAGACAGGGACTGACTTGACAACTTCAGACCCTATGATCGCAAAGGTCATGGTACATGATTCCAACCGGACAGCAGCTATTGAAAAATTGGGAGATGTCTTGTCGCAATCGACTATCTGTGGACCGCCGACAAATTTGGACTTTTTGCACGCCATCATTAACTCCAGCAAATTCCGCACGGGGCATACATTGACCAATTTTTTAGCGGATTTTGAGTTCACACCGGTTGCGATCGATGTCGTATCACCCGGTTTGTATACAACAGTTCAAGACTATCCAGGACGCCCAACAGCTGGGCGGGGAATTCCACAAGCAGGACCAATGGTAAGCTGGACCCCCTGAGGCTTGAACCAATTCATCTGCTTACATCTGGATACCAGGACCCTTTGGCATTTCAAGGTATACCCATGACCTAAGTTATGTGCTTTTCTACCTGCATAGAGTTCTGACAATATATCTTGCTTGCAGTTGCCAACATCTTGGCTGGGAATCCTTCCAACACCGAAGGCCTGGAGATCACATTGAAAGGGCCGGAGCTACGTTTTCTATCCCATGCTTGCATATCTGTCTGTGGCGCTCCAATGGAGATGTCACTCGACGGTACCGACGTCCCAATGTGGACACGACTCTATGTCAAAGCCGGTCAAACCTTATCAATCGGAAAGCTCAATGGATCCGGAGGGTGTCGAGGTAGGATATTCTCTATATTCTGGTTTAATCTGCTAACTTGTTCATAGCATATCTCGCTGTTCGTGGAGGCTTTCCGGCAGTGTAAGTTACGACTAAATATTTCTTCTTGGCTCTATAACTAATAATGTGTGCAGTGCCCCATACTTTGGGTCAAAGTCAACCTCCCCTCTACTTGGGATTGGTGGGTATCAAGGAAGAGCGCTCGCCCCCGGTGATATGTTGGCCATTTCGAAGCTCGATGGAATTGAGGCAGAGCCCGAGATCTCTTTGCCCGCCCATTTGCGCCCCATATACTCCCGTCACTGGGACATTGATGCCATGGTTGGACCCTACGATGAAGGGTATATCGTATCCGAAGATATCGACATGATCTATAAAACAGTCTGGTATGAAGTTCCAGTAGCAAGGGTGAAGAAGGCATCAGGAGACACTACTAACTGGTTGATTACAGGGATGTTTCGCATAATGCCACGAGAGGCGGCATTCGCCTTGTTGGACCTAGTCCTAGATGGGCAAGAGAAGATGGAGGTGAGGGTGGACAGCACCCTAGCAACGTTATTGAATACGGGTACCCGAACGGAACGCTGAACTGGACGGGAGACAGGCAAGTCCCGATGGCAAATGCCTTGACGTTAATCTACTAACTCATCTGGCCATTTCAGTCCCTGCATCTTCCCCGTGGACGCCCCTGATCTTGGTGGCTTCATTTCCTCCACGACGATTGTGAAAGCCAGTCTATGGCGTATGGGTCAACTGAAATCTGGCGACACTATTCAATACCGCAGAGTATCATTGAAAGATGCTCTTCGTGCTCGAGTTGAGTTGGAACAGTTTTTGGAAAGTGTGTCGGCAGTTGTAGCCGGCCAATGCGATTTTGATACCGTCGTGGCAATCTCCAATTCCACCTTGCCAGAATCAACTGTTTCTGGAAACTGGGGAAAGGCGTTGATTTACTGCACCGAGCTGGGTGAATCCGGAATTCCTATGTCATTCAGACAGGTAAGAGATAGTCCAGGTTACTATGCCCATCAATTTCTAACCGCCACTGGCAGGGTGGGGATGAGTTCTTGTTGGTCGAATTTGGCGATGGGAAATTTAACCTCAATCATCGCTGCCGAGTAACGGCATTGGACCAAGCTCTCAAGAAGTCGCAAGAGTCTGACGAAGTTTTGAGACGAGCTGTGTACAAGACCACCGGATGCTGCAATTGTGGGTTTCCTCCCCAGGCTCGATAAATATTTGACTTGTACTAATGACTGGGCAATTAAAGCGCTACTAATCCACTACGATGGTCTGAAGTTCTCCCAGGATAATCTTGTCAAACTTTTGGTATCGTTGCAAAAAACGATCGGCGATCTCAGCAATTCCAACGTCCCAAGCCGAAAGTTCCGTCTTCCCATCTGCTTCGAAAGCCCAGCTCAGCAGGAAGCCGTCCAGCGATACATGGAGACACAGAGACCACATGCTCCATTCTTGCCGAATAACATGGACTTCGTGGCTAATATCAACGGGATTACCTATGATGAATTGGTGGAGATTTTTCTTTCGGTCGAATTCATGGCTATTTGTGTCGGGTTCTTCTGTGGTGATACAATATGTCTCCCGGTCGATCCCCGCTATCGTTTGACATGCCCCAAGCAGAACCCTAGTCGTGTGTACACCCCTGAAGGAAGTGTCAGCTGGGGTGGTTCATGCATGAAGTAAGCATTTTCCCATACTGCCGAAGTTGACGATCGAGTTAACATGCTAATGTTAACAGCATCTACCCCGTTGATTCCCCTGGGGGATATCAGATGACGGGCCAAACAATCCCTTGCTTCGACCAATTGGGAGTCAAACCCGATTTCTCGCCAAGCCAGCCCGGTCTGTTCCGTGACTTCGACCAGATTACATTCTACCGAGTAGAGAAGGAAGAACTTGAGAGTGACTTGGCGCGTTTCCGGTCTGGTTGTTATAAATTCCAGTACGAAGATGTCATTTTCGATATGAGCGCCCACAATCGTCTTCTTCAGCAAACTAGGGACGAAGTAGCGGCATTCAAGTCTCGCCAAGCCACTTCACAGGTAAAAATGTTAGCCTTGGAAAAGGAATCAATGGACAGGTGGATGGCCGAGAAAGCGCAGAATCACGTTCTTCCTGATGAAATTGAACTGCTGAAAGAAGGTGAGCTCAAGATCTCGCAATTGATTCAGCACTTCAGAATATTAACAGAAGACCGCCAGACCCTGAAATTGTGACACTGTATGCTCCTCTCGATGCAAACGTGTGGAAGGTTAACGTTTCAGATGGCAACGTTATCAGCTCTACGAAAGTTGTTGCCATCCTTGAGGCAATGAAAATGGAAGTCTCCGTCTCCTATAATGGGGACAAGAAGGATGGTATTGATCAATCTTTTAGGATTGAGAAAGTACTCGTCCAGCCAGGTGATACTGTTCGGGCCGGAGATGCGCTTGCATTTTTGAGAAACATCTGATGTGAGGTGTTTCCATACAATGAGGTGTAACGGGTGTCCCACGATCCATATTAGAAACTATTGGCGTATGAATATATACTGTTCCAATGCCGCTCTAAGTACATACGACCATAGGATGTCGAAAACAGGGCTTCCCGTCCGCTCAGCCGTACTTAAACCGATTATTCTGCACAGTCAATACTCAATGCGCCCTCAGCAGCCCCCAAGCCGAACTCTAGAGTGAGTGCGGTGATATGGGTGGGAAGTTTGGAGACCAGGGTTTCCGGCTCCATATTAAGATCTACCGTTCGAATTTCATGTTTTCAACTTTTCACTCAATTCTGCTTAGCTTTTCTATCACTTTCCTTTTTTTTGCGTTTCAGGGCCATAGCGTGCGCAGCGCGCGTCACCAGTTGTTGTAACCTGCATATCGCTTCGGCAGTTAGATCCTAGGTCACACACTAACCTGGCTGTTTCCCCGTGACTGTATAATTAATGCATTTTTAATGGTAATTTTGAGTAATTCTCTTACAGCTTTGACTAAAGAATCATTTTTACTATATTTCTTTATTAACTTATAGATATTAACGGAATACATATTATTTTAGGGGATCGGTAATTACACCCCCCCCTTCAGTAATTACACCCCCCTGCCTGAATTTCCAGGCCACAATTTTTTTCTGCCGGCAATATTTCTGCCACCACCACAAACTTGAGGTACTTGCGTTTAATATGTA